AGAGGTCTGCTGTGCCATGTGGGTCAGCTCCCTAGCCAGGGATAGAACTCATGCTGCAGTGGCTGTGGATAGCTTCACAGTGCTGAGACTTAACCCCTTGCACCACCAGGGAGGCCCCAAACTCATAGGATTTTTGTGGAGAAAAATGCATGTCAAGTACTTACGGAAAAGTGATAATGCTAAAACTGCCTATGATATAATAAGGGTAGGGGAAGGTACTCAAAATAACTCCTTTAGATACCAACTTTAGAGCAAGATGAATATGAAATCAGAAAGTCTTTTGAATATATAATGCAGTCACCCTAAAAATGATTTTCTTGTTTTCCTTTGAGTATTTACCTACCTGCGTAATTACTGTTTTACATTGTTTTATCAGTTGTATAAATACATTAAAAAGACAAAGGTTATTGCACTGGTCAGATCAACAGAAAAACGTGCTTTTCTGCCTTTTCCAATTACCATTTTCTTAGTTTCAAATAAATTAATAGAAGGAGATCTTTGCATCAAATCAGCCACTGTCAGAAGCTTGGGTCAATCAAGGTGCTAAGTCTTACTTACCAACTCTGCAGGATACACTTTAAATCCTGACTTGTAAAAACTGTTCTAAATGTGCCCCTTTAGCAACAAACTCATGAATGGTGGGGGGAAATGGTAGAATGTATACCATGCACCCCTCATGTCCCTGTAGCCAGTTCATTGTTGCCCTGGCTACCATCTATGGATGCCATTATTTCATTGTGACTTAGTAGAACCTTTCTGCTCTTTCACAAAAGTTGTTACAGAGATGAAATATCAGGTCGATTCAGCAACTATATGAGAGCCTAGTGGGCCAAGCTCAGTGCTAGTAGGCATATGGAGGGTGGCGACTAGAAGAGACTGTCAAAGGCAGACCCAACCCGGGGCTTCCCTGGTGGCAGAAGGGTTAAAGATAGAGCTATCAAGCTATCACCAGCCACTGCAGCACAAGTTGGATCCCTGGCCTGCCTGCTTCTGCATGGATTTCTGCTAACAGAGATGATGAGGATTTTACCCCTGTTGTTTAAAACTTATACTAGATTCATTTACTTTCTAATTTAAATTTGTTTACTAAAAGTGAGTGTCCATATTAGTGGTTCTAAAATAGATTGTTTTGGGAGGCTTAACAAAATTTCATTAAGATAGGCTGCTAAAGGAGGCACATACTAGATGCTGAATAAATATTTGCTGAGTGAATGTCAAAAAAAAAAAAGGGCTTAGTCCTAAAATTAAGAAAATGTGTTTATACTTACTTGGGTGTGTGAGTCTGAGGCAATTAGCAGCTTGTTCTTGCTTGATCAGGTTTTAGTAACCTGTGTGAAAAGTAAGTTCTCAGAATTGACTTTTCACTCCAGTTCAGGGTGAACACTTTGCAAGTTTTTCTTGGGTTTTTTTTTTTTTTGTTTGTTTGTTTTTTTTGCCAGAGGAACTGAAGGTTTTCTTTGAAAATACCTCAAAGGGGTTCCTTTCCAGGAATAACTACCATTAAGGACTCTTGATGAGGTGACAAGTTCAAGAACACGTCTCTTGAGAGACCAGAGAACCTTTAGGACATAGACAAGAGTCATCTATCTACACTGGACACTGGAAAACATTCTGGCACACAGAAAGTGTTCTGTGGACAACTGTGAAAAGAGCAAAGTTTGTATTGACTTAGCTCAGTCTCTCTTCCCTACACTTTAAGTGAAGGGGTCCTCTCAGACTTCTACATAATCTTACCCATTTGAGGATATTGGGAGGTAACAGATTTAGCTCTCTAAACCCGATGAGGATCTTTCTCATTTTCCCTTAACTCCAGGTGGAATGTTGGGCCACATTTTGAGAAACATTATCAGTTTAAAACACCACTACTTAACCTCTTTAAGGTCCTAGAGATCTTTTGAAGGTATGAACAAAACACTGAAATGCATAATTTTGTATGGCTTCAGAAAATCTTGTAGTCCTTCAGGTCTTAAAATTGGTTTAAGGAGCCTGCTGTCAGCCACAATATGTATTAGTTTTACCTAGATGCTTAAAGTTATTTCCAGCAGCTTTTGCAATCCAGGAATTGTTTTGTTTTTGGTTGCCCTGTTCTCAGATTATTAAAGACAAAAATATCTCTTCATCTTCTATAGACAGGCTGTGTTTTAGACATTGCACTTGGTCAGAAGTGTACCCTGAAACAATGGTGCTGCTACCTTGGTTAGTGAAACTGTTCACTGCTCTAACTTGTACTGTTTTAGGCCTGTCAAGTTTCTGCAATCTCTTGAGCATTTATTCACACCCAGAATATACTAAGCACATAAAATCAACAAAGAAAGCTGGAATAATATGGAAGGTAAAGTTAAAGCCTTTGTACCAACCTGAGTGGCTCTTTCGTATCTGAGGGTAGTTGGCAATCATCCTTCTATAAATTAGAGCAAGAACACTGTAAGAAGAGTTATTAAGCAAAACATTAGCCTTTGGTAACGAATTCTTTTAATTTACTTTCTAAATTTTTTAAAATAATTTTGAAGTTCACCCTTCTAAAGTGTACTATTTAGTAGTTTTTAGAAAATTCACCAAGTTGTTCACCCAGCTATTATCAAATTCTAGATTATTTTCACCATCCCAAAAAGAAACCCTGGACCTTTTTGCAGTGACTCCCCATTATTCCCTTCCCACAACACCAGTAACTGTTGTCCTGCCTTCTGTGTCTATGGATTTACCTATCTGAACCCTAAATATAAAGATCATAATATGTGGCCTTGTGTGCCTGGCTTTTCACTTAACAAGGTTTTCAAGGTTCGTGTTGTAGCATCTACCAGTAATTTATTCTTGTTTATGGTCTGGAGGGTTTATGTTTACAGCAGAATGCCAAGTACTGATTGGTAAATATGGAGAGATATCTAGAATCTAAAAATCAAGATTGATTTTGGCAGGAATCATTAACAGTAATAAATTTAGGAGGAAATTTTTAGGAAGAGCAGAATATTTGGATAGTTTTAAAGTCTCTCCCCACAGATGACATACTAATTTAAAATGGGAAAGTAGTAATTAAACAGTAGAGAAATTGGAGAACACCTTGACCAAGTGGTGAGAGTTAACACCACTAATAAGGGTCAGATGTACATCATGGGTATCCAGAGGTGAGGATTTGAGAAAGACACAATATCTCAGGGATGCATGGTCTCAATTGTGAGGAAACAGCCAACAAACCCAAAATGGATAATGTTCTCTTTAAAAAAAAAGAAAAAGGTTTTATTCTTTAGGAATGTCAGTGTCAAAAGAAAGATAAAAGTGGTGGAAATTTCCAGATTAGAGACCAAGGAGACATGGCAATCACTATCTGATTCTAGACTGGATCCTGTGTTGAAGGCTACAAAAAGTAACATGAAGGACATGACTGGGTCAGTTGACAAAACTGGGTTCTGCAGGGATGGATTAGGTAGACGTTCTTGATAACTGCTTGTATAAATCAGCCCTTCATAGGTGCTCAACAGACACTTCTCCAAAGAAGACATACAGATAAACAACAGACACATGAAAATATGTTCAGCATTTCTTATATTATGGAAATGCAAATTAAAATAATGAGCTATTCCTTCACACATTTGACATTGGCTGTTATGAAAAAGACAATAGGTATTGACAAGAAAAGGAAACCCTTGTATACTCTTGGTAAAGATGTAAATTGGTATAGCTGTTACAGAAAACAATACGTAGATTCCTCAAAAAACTAAGAATACATATGCCATATGATCCAGCGATGCTACTTCTGGGTATTTATCCAAAGAACATGAAAACTAATTTAAAGAGATGTATGCCAGGATGTGGAATATATACACAGTAGACTACTACTCAGCTGTAAAATATGAAATCCTGACATTTGCAGTAACATGGATGGATCTATAGGATGTTACACTAAGTGAAATAGGTCTACGCTAAGTGAAATAAGTCAGAAAGAGAGGAACAAATAGCATATCATTTCATTCATGCGGTAGACAAAGAAAACAAATGAAGGAAAAACAAATTCTGAGTCCATAAGAACAAAACAGTGATTGCCAGAAGTGAAGGGGTGACGGGGAGATAGATTAAAGGGGTTGTATGGTGATGATGGTGATGTAAAACTAGATTTGGTGGCAAGCTTAATGCAGCATATACAGATGTTGACTTATAAGACTGTACATCTGAAACCTATATGTTATAAATTAATGTTACTTAAATAAACAGCCAAAGATCTGATAGCCCTTCTTAACCAGGTTGTGCAGAAGTAAGGTAGTGTGGCCTAAGGCATCTGTTGTATTTCATTGGTTCATTTCTGTACATCAAAAGTGATAACTGGTCAAGTACCATCCTTAGGCGAATGGGGAAATAGTCACTCAAATCATTTCATTATCTCAGGGGACCAGGTAAGAGGCTGTAAAAGAATGCCCTTATTCTAAGAAAACAAGCACTGAAATATTTAGGGTTGTAAAAGACCATGAGTTCCACAATTTACTTTTAAATGATTTAGAAAATAGAAAGTTACATATAGAGCCCAAATACTAAACCTAATGAAGGAAATGTTAACTACAGGTAATTCAAGGTAAATGGTATGTGTTTTTAAAAAAAAAGTACCTTTTTTCTTGTAGTTTTACTATCCATTAAAAAAACACAAAACTATCCTCTTATTAATTGGCATCTAAAGCATTTAAGAGTAGTAATATGGGCTAGAGATTTTATGTAAGTGTCCATGCCTAAATGAGCATTCAGTACTGTGGAATATAACTGTTATTGGACAGTGGTTTATGAAAGTGCATTTAAGCAAGAAACAGATTATTATTAAGTTATTTGCTAATTCTATTTGAGCTTCTTGTAAAAAGCTTTGATCTGATTCCAATTCTTTCTGGAATAAGTAAAGTTATAAATAAGAACTGTGTGAAATGCTTAAGGTAGACACTCAACTACTGAGAACAAAAAAGAAATTGAAAGAGTGTGGCTTGAGAAATGCTATTCAAAAATCACCATTTGATTTATCTTTCCAGGAGGAACTTTTGGATATAAAAGAACGCCCTCATTCCAAGCAGAGGCCTTCATGCCTTTCTGAAAAATACGACAGGTATTGGGGAGAGGATGAATAAGGGGTATTTTTAATCAACGGTTCTACCACACTTGGTAAAATAAGACTTGTATTGTTCTGGAAATTTTTGGTGAAATTATGAGTAGGAAGATTTGAGGGGTAATGATATTAGGCTTCTGCATAAATATGTTGCATACAAGCTATAGACATCACTAAATAGCATCTCACTTCATTGTCTATCAGTTTCATTATTAATTAGCTTTAAACCTTTAATTCAGAGATTTGAGCTGCAAGGGATTAAGGACAGCTAAACCAACTCAGCTAAACCTTTCAATTAACTGATGAAACTAAAACTAGAAAACAACTTGGTTATGGTACATAATCAGAAAGAAGAGTTAAGACTTGAACCCAAGAATCCTCACCAGGTTCTTGTCTACCATTGGTGTTTTTTTTTTTTTTAAAAAGATGTATTTATTTATTTATACAAGAGCCGGGGTACAGTCCAGATGTACGGGAGGGTGAGAGGATTCACCAGAGACAGAGCAGGGAACAGAACAGGCAGATTGACGAAATACACTGTTGAGGGGAGCAGCGGGCGAATCAGGAGAGGTCTGCTCACCATGTGGGTTGCTCCGAGGCCAGCAGGGATCGAATAGGCACTGCAGAGGCTGTGGACAGCTTCACAGCGCTGTGCTCAACCGCCTGCACCACCAGGGAGGCCCCTACCATTGGTTTTTTAAACTTTGTTTTGAGGGTCCTTCTTCAAGGACCTGGACCCAGTAGACTGATTGATAGGCTTTGACCCTTTTATCTTTGCTCCTCACCCCAAATGAAAGAACCATTCAGACTATCCTTTTTGCATCTTGGGCTCTTTCATAAGAGGTAAAAGACTGGTTTGAGAAGATTATAGCTTAAAATGATTTTAAAATTCTCTTACAGTGACCCAATGTTGAACTTAAGATTTTTTTTTTTTTAAAGATTTATTTTTATTTATTTATACAAGCACTGGGTACAGTCAGAAGCGCGGGAGGGTGAGAGAACTCACCAGAGCCAGAGCGGGGAGCAGAGCAGGCAGAAGGACCGAGGTACACTGCTGAGGGGAGCAGCAGGCGGCAGGAGAGGTCCACGCGCCATGCTGGACCCCCCTCCCGTGGCCGGGGAGCAGCCAGGGATCAAACCAGCGCCACAGAGTCCGCGGGCAGCTTCGCAACCCAGCGCTCAACCGCTGCACCACCGGGGAGGCCCCTGAACTTAAGATTTTAAGGTCACTTCTTAAATATCAAGATAGATGGTTAATACTTGCCCACAAGTTTAACAAAAAATGCATTTATTCTGTTTAATTTCCTAGTTGTATAGGATATGTGGTAAATAGCATGTGTCAGATGCTATCAAATACTCTCCGTGGAGGATTAGTCTGTGGAAAGAAGCAGTCAAATACGTGTGAGAATTTATCATTACCATCAAAAATAGGCTCAGAAGGATAATTACAGAATATAGTGCTAGTGTGACCTTTTCTGATCAGGGGTTGGGGAAATTCTTTTTGCAGAAAACTAAAGGGTATAGTTTAGTACCTCGTCCAGGATGTCCAGAGGTGGAAAAATAGTGAGAATTTGGTCATAAATCACTGGACTCCAAAACTTCTGCTGTGCACAATGTACCATTTGCCACTCAATCGTTGGAGAGAGAGTAACAAAATAAAACTCAGTTGACACATTTTAGGCTCTTAAGAGCTATTCTGCTTGGGGGAAAAACTGAGACTATAGAAATTTTGGAAAAATAGTAAGGATTCCAGGACCTACTTCTGGTGAGAGGATTAAGGGTTTTTTTGGTTTTTGACTTTTCTTCCTTTGTATTAATGTGAAGTAAACTGAGTAATCAATATTTATGAGGCCTCTTCTTTGTGTGGAACAGGCATAGTTATTGTAATCCATTTGTGTCCTGAGATTTGTGGTCTGAATGTTTCATTGATGCACAGACCACTGGTTTTCAAGTGACTGTTGGTGTTATGTGAACAACAAAATATTACTGAATATTTTGCTGTCATCTTAAAAGATATAACCATTCTGATGGCAGCCATACAGTTTTATATTGGAAAGGTGTTTTCATAACTTACTTACCTGAAGAGGTTTAGAAATTAGACTATGTATTTCATGAGTGCAAATGCTAACTGTTGGTATTAATTAACCTACAGTGATGGTGTCTGGGACCCTGAGAAGTGGCATGCCTCTCTCTACCCAGCCTCAGGGCGGAGCTCACCAGTGGAAAGTCTGAAGAAAGAGTTGGATACAGACCGCCCTTCCTTGGTGCGCAAGATTGTAGGTGAGCACACAAGTTACTCAGGAGTGGAAGCAGCGATACTGGAGATGACACACTTATGTTACTGCTTCATTTTTAGCTCTGAGAATTTTAATTTTTTTTTTTTTTTTTAATAGAGGCATGTTTTATTTATTTATTTGTTTGTTTGTTTGTTTGTTTATACATGCACTGGGTACAGTCAGAAGCGCGGGAGGGTGAGAGAATTCACCAGAGCGGGGAGCAGAGCAGGCAGAAGGACCGAAGCACACTGCTGAGGGGAGCAGCGGGCGGCAGGAGAGGTCTGCGCGCCATGTGGGACCCTCCTCCGGTGGCCGGGGAGCAGCCGGGGATCGAACTGGCGCTGCAGAGGCCGCGGGCTGCTTCGCAACCCAGCGCTCAACCGCTGCGCCACCGGGGAGGCCCGAGAATTTTATGTATTGGGGAAAATGTCATTATCAGGAAGCTGATTTAAAAATTGGATTTTCCTGATTAGCAGAGTAAAATCATAACCTTCCTGTGGCAAGTAGATTATATTAGGCTACATGTTTTTAAATATCAAATAGTGATATGTTTCACGGATATGGATGACAGGGTTAGATGTGGTTACCCTGTGCTGGAAATCTGAATATGCTTAGTCTGATTTGTGAGACTAGTCCTCTGGGATAAACAAATCAATTTACTAATTCTTCATCATGAGTTACGATAGGATTTATATAGATTTGAAACAGGAATAAAGTTTGATCTTTCACATCTTTACCCTCTTAAACTAGAAAAGATACATATCTTAAGAGCAAAATGAAGACCTAGTAATATAAAAAGCCAGTCAAGGAACTTGTTGCAAGAGAATCTCCTTTTGAGAGGAAGACCCATCATAAAACAAACTTGGAACTGAGCAAAGAAGATAGGAGTAACTCTAGTTAGACTGTGTAGAAAGGTCATCGTTCGGTCAGCATATTTAGTAGTGTCCCTTGAACAGTTCATTCTAACAGAATCATTAAAGATGTGCACAGAGACTTGATTAAAACAATGAAAATTTAGAAACAGCCTAAATGTCCAACAGAGAAATAAGTTGAGTAAACTTAGGTACAACCATATGTTAGGAGTATTACAGTGTTCCACTGCATTGTAGCTGTGATTATCAAGTCAAAGAAAACTATTGTGTCTTGTTGTAGGAACTCTTTCTGGTGAGGTGATTCTAGGAGGATTTTCTCACTTGGACTTTTCTTTCGTTTTCTGGTCTTTTTATGAAGATTTTTTTTTTTCTGATGGCATGTTTATTTTTTAAAAAATCATTGAGCTACAATTGACATTGAATAGACTGCAGATAAAGTGTTTCATTTGATGTTTTGACATTTTTACATGCTTTTGAAACCATTACCACAATCAAAGTAATAAGTACTTCTGTCCTCCCCAGTTCTCTAGTTAACCCCTATGAGTCCCTCCCTTAAAATCCTCCTCACGCTGCTTTCTGTCACTATAGATTAGTTTACATTTCCCAGAATTTTATATAAATGGAATTATATAGATGTCCTCTTTAGGTAGATTCTTTCTTTCAAAATAGTTATTTTAAGTTTCATCCATATTGTTGGGTTATTATAGTTTATTCCTTTTTATTGCCTAGTAATAATCCATTGTATGAATTTGCCAGTTTATCCATTTATCTATTGATGAACATTTGGGTTGTTTCCAGTTTTTTACTATTAATTAAAACTGCTATGAACTTTAATGTACAAGTCTCTATATGAACATATGCTTTCTTTTCTCTTTGGTAAGTACCTGATTACAATTACTAGGTCCTATAGTAGGTATATGTTTAACATTTTGAGAAATTGCCAACCTGTTTTCCAAAGTGGTTACACCATTTTACATTTCCACCAGCAGTGTGTGAGAATTCTACTTGCTCCATATCCTCGCCAGCACTTGGAATGGTCAGTTTTTTTTTTTTTATTTTAGCCATTCTAATAGGTGTGTAGTGGTATCATACACATTATGGTTTAATTTGCATTTTCCTAATGACTAATGATGTTGAGTATCGTTTCATGTGCTTATTTGCCATCCATAAATCTTCTTTGGTGAAGTGTCTGTTCAAACCATTTGTCCTTTTGTTTTTAATTGGATTGTTTGTGTTAAGTTTTAAAGTTATATACTAGATACAGATTCTTTATCAAATATATGCTTTAATGTACTTTCTCCCCATCTAAAGCTTGTTTTTGTATTCTCTGAACAATATCTTTCAAAGAGCAGAAGTTTTAAATTGATTGTAAAGCCCAATTTATCATTTTTCTTCAAATGGATTATGCTCTTGGTTTTGTGCATATGAAAACTTGCTTAACCCAATGTCATAAAGATTTTCTCCTAAATTTTTCTTCTAGAAGTATTATGGTTTTAGGCTTTGTTACATTTTACAGCTGTAATTTATTTTGAATTAATTTTTGTATAATGTACTAGGCATGGATTCAGGTTTGTGGGGGTTGTTTTTTTCATGTGGATATCCAATTGTTCAATACCATTTGTTGAAGAGACACTTTAACTTTTTAAGTAGTTATTTTTTTTCAAATGCTGACACCTACTATAGTTCTTAGTTGACAAAACATTTGCTAATAATTACATAGATAACGACTTAGTCAAAATAAAGGGATTGCGGAGACTAATCCTGGAAAATAATTTATTATAAAGTACATTTAGTGTTCCAAAGAGAAAAAGTAAAAGGCTCTGTCTTATTTAAATATTTAATATACGTGTTAATTCTATCTGTTTTAGTGATGACTCTTTCCAATACTTCCACTACCACCAGTCATGGACATAAGAAAGGGAAAATGCCCTTGTTGGTTTAATTTTTCTCTTTTTGGCATCTTTCCAGATCCACGAGAGCGTGTGAAAGAAGATGACTTAGATGTTGTTCTCAGCCCACAGAGACGAAGCTTTGGAGGGGGCTGCCACGTAACAGCTGCTGTTAGCTCCCGGCGCTCAGGAAGCCCTTTGGAGAAAGACAGTGATGGACTTCGCCTGCTTGGTGGAAGGAGGATTGGCAGTGGAAGGATAATCTCTGCTCGGACCTTTGAGAAGGATCATCGGCTTAGTGATAAGGATCTACGGGACTTGAGGGACAGAGACCGAGAGAGGGACTATAAGGACAAGCGTTTCAGGGTTTGTCTTCTAGATCCTTTGTTGCCTCATGTGTTTAGAACTCAACATTCACTTTGTACCAGTTTAATTCTGAGATTGGAATAAACAACTCCCTCTTATTTTAAATCAGATATAGAAGCATAGAGATGGTTGGGGGCTGGATGGAAGTTCAAGTCTAACTTAGTATCTACAGTTCACTACTGAGCATTATTTAATTTGTCCAGACCTTAATAGAGGTAGAAATGCCATAACTGGACTCTTTTAATCTTACTATGTACTTTTCCAGAGGGAGTTTGGGGATAGTAAGCGTGTCTTTGGTGAACGTAGAAGAAATGATTCCTATACAGAAGAAGAACCAGAATGGTTCTCAGCTGGACCCACAAGTCAGTCTGAAACCATTGAGCTAACTGGCTTTGATGATAAGATACTGGAAGAAGATCATAAGGGGAGAAAGAGAACAAGGCGACGGACAGCTTCTGTGAAGGAAGGTCAGTGAAAACTTTGGGAGGGAAATTTACTGTTCTTAAATGAAATCTGCTTATCATTGTCTTACTTGTACATTTAGAAATGGAAACCACTGTTTAGGAAATGGCAGGTTTTTACTTTTGCAGCCAGATTTTGAAACTGCTTCCTAAGTTTGAATTCAGCAGGCGCAGATTATACTGTCTTCTTAACTTGATCTGCCTGCAGTGCTAAACAGAAAAATCTCACATTACCCTGTAAGAGCATTATGTACATGAAAGGGTTCCCTAGAGAGAAGAATGTGATAGAGATAAGGAGAGGTCTTTTATTGAATACATACTAGGCACAGCGGTACCTCAATAATCCTACTTCCTTCTCCTAATGACCCTGTGAGGTAGGTATTTTTATGTCTCTTGTAGATTAGCAAATGGCACACATGGGACTTAAGTGACTTCTCTGTGGACACTGAGGAAGTAAGTAGTAAAGTTGAGAGTTGACAGGATGCTTTTGAACTTCAGAGCCCACTTTCTTCACCGTGGTATTGGATCTTCCTCTGGCAGTTGTTTGTTGAGTTGGCTTCTCCCAAGCTTTTCTCAGCTGTGATAAAATCTCCCTTGCTAAACAGAAAGGCCAGCGCTAATTTGTAAGAGGTGCCTGGTGGAGAGTGGGGGCCCATTAATTAGGACAATGGCCTGGCCCTGAGATGGGCAGCCCTAAACTGATGGTCTTGAAAGAGGCACTGCAGGCCCTAGTGAAGACCCCATGTGGGCTAGCCTGGATTTGTGTGTTGGGGCTATTGCTTAGAAGGATAGTTTCTGATTAAACTTTTTGTTTTTTCCTACTTTTTTTTAAAAATATTTATTTATTTATGCATACAAGAACTGGGGTACAAGCCAGAGGTACAAGGGGTGAGAGGATTCACCAGAGACAGTGGGGAACAAAACAGGTGGATTGATTGAAATACACTGCAGAGGGGAGCAGTGGGTGAGGCAGGAGAGGTTTGCTGTGCCATGTGGGTATCTCCCTGGTCGGGGATCGAACTCGTGCTGCAGTGGCTGCGGACAGCTTCATAGGTTGCGTCTTAACCCCTTGCACCACCAAGGAGGCCCTCTAATTAAACTCTTAATAGGTGGGCCCATTTCATTTTAATTTGAAGACAGTCCATTTAACATGGAATATCAAATGTACACATGAGAGCTCCACCTTTCATGGACCCTTATTCAGTAAATCCTAGTTCCTTCTGGCCTTTAGGTTTAGTTGAAAAAAAATCTTTTGGCAGATATTGCACAACAAAATAGGAGAGTAATCTTAATACTTGTATTTAATCTGTGCCACCTTAAAATTACAAGGCTACAGTGTATGAGCAGAAACAAGCTTATTTAGATGGAAAAGAAAAATCACATTACTTGTCTTTTTTTTGGCGCATTCTTGAAAATACAGTAGACATTACCATTATCTTTGTACTGTTACACATTCTTCACTATGGTGATAGAGGAAATTAAGGAGTAGTTGGGAGACTGCTATTAAATTGTCTGTGAACTGTGCCCTTGTCTCATTCATGACTAAGCTAAAGCAGCACCAGCAAGTATGGTCTTTTCACCTAATGATAAAGGTCAGGCTTCTGGTGAGAAAAGCATGTCTTGGGTTTTGTTGGTTTTTTTGACTACTACAAAAGTTTATTTAACAAAAAATTTCAATAAGAAAATGTATATGATCCATTTTTTTACATTATAGTGAAAAAGTTGCTGTGGAGAAGGGGTTATGTGGAGGCAATTGTTTTCTCTAGTAAACACAGCCACTGTTGGTAGCTGCCCCGCGGTTTCTAACATGATGAGACTATTTCTTCGTATTCTAGTATTGATGTGTTGCCCACCAGTGGCCATCTCCACACATTCATCTATCACAAGAGTCAAAGGAATCAAATGCCCACAGTATTCTTGGACGGCTGCCACCATTTAATTTCAATGATAACTTTTGTCCTTACATTTTTTTCACCTTGGGGAGGGTAAGGTTTGCTCACGGGCTAGTTGGCAAGCTCAAAAATGCCTCCAGATTAAATTCATGGCCTCTTTCCCTATGTGTTTGTTTTAACTGAGATGAAATTTGAATTTCATCCATTTGTTTATAAACAGGGAAGCCAAAGGAGCGAGGTATTTGCTGGTGGCACCTCCTCACCTTACAGATAACAAAAGAGAGACAGACCTGGAAAGACGAACAACTTGAGACCCTGTAACACAGGTTTCATGGCAGAACCTCAAGTAGAATGGAGGTCCTGACTCATTTACCTCATTAGTTAATTGCAAATAGTCCCTAGCCTGTACTCACTGCTGTTTTTAAGATAAACAGGTCTTCTGTGGTTTCATCTTGGCTGCAAGAATGAAAGGAGGGGGAGCAATGATGAGCGCCCTTTAGTCTATTTTTTTGTGTCTAATATTCTAGCTTTCCACTGAACTTACATAGCAGCTATCTTCAGGGACACAGCGGTGCTAGGAATACAATGAGTGCGATAAGCCATGGCCCTTGCATGCATGACTTTAAAGATGTTTTGAGCTATACCCATTCTAAACAGGGCTCAGTGCTAGGAGAGGTACATATGTGATGAATTAAACAATTTGAATGTATTAGACATACAGCCAGGAAAAAAATACCGGGGGAATTTTAACCAGGGGGAAATTGTTAACAACCTCAATTTATTTTATTTTATTTTATTTTATTTTTTTTTTAAACTTTTTTTTTTTTATAGAGGCATGTTTTTATTTATTTATTATTTATTTGTTTGTTTGTTTTTGTTTATACATGCACTGGGTACAGTCAGAGGCACGGGAGGGTGAGAGAATTCACCAGAGCCAGAGCGGGGAGCAGAGCAGGCAGAAGGACCGAAGTACACTGCTGAGGGGAGCAGCGGGCGGCAGGAGAGGTCTGCGCGCCATGTGGGACCCTCCTCCAGTAGCCGGGGAGCAGCCGGGGATCGAACCGGTGCTGCAGAGGCCGCGGGCAGCTTCGCAACCCAGCGCTCAACCACTGCGCCACCGGGGAGGCCCCTAACAACCTCAATTTATTTTAAAAAAAAAATTAGTTTGTATTCTCTAATGAAAGTATGTGCTCATTCTGAAATATGATTTAAAAAAAAAAAAAAAAAAACCCTAGCTTAGTTGTCTTTCTTGGGTCCCTGACTTTTAAGTCTGGCATAATAAACCCACTCATAACCCTTTTCACTTGTCAGTCCCATTCTGCTTTCCAGAATGCTTAAAGCTAGTATAAAATTGCATTCTGGTCACTCTTGCTGCTTGTAAAAGCCATTCATCTGTTAAGAGAGGTCCCCATCTCAACACAAAAGTGACAGGTCCCTGGTGGCGCAGGCGGTTGAGTGCCACACTGTGAAGCTGTCAGCAGCCTCTGCAGTGCGGGTTTGATCCCGGCCGGCCGGCGAGATTCCAATATGGCGCAGCAGACCTCTCTTGTCTCGCCTGCTGCACCCCTCAGCAGTGTATTTCGTCAGTCTACCTGTTCTGTTCCCCACTCTCTCTGGTGAATCCTCTCACCCTTCCACGCCTCTGGCCTGTACCACAGTTCTTGTATAAATAAATAAAAATAAACCTACAAAACAAAACAAACAATGCTCTCTTTAAAAAAAAAAAGTGACAGGGTAAATATTAAAAATTTATTTTTTAGATGTATGAGCCAGTTAGAATCTCTTCAGGCTCTCATCCTTAATTTGAGTCACAAAACTGCAGCAAAATTTATGTTCCATGCCATTCCTGAAGTGGGCAGGCAGATTCTTCTGGTAGGTAAAGTGTGTCAGGGATAAAACTACTGTAGTAGAAAAAGGACACAAATTTGGCATTAGTTAGGCTGTTAAGTTGGCTTCTTTTTCTAAGGCTCAGTTTCTTTGTAAAGTGAAGATAATACCTCCACTAAGGTGCTCAGTGTAGTTTAAATATTAGCCTTTAAGGATTCTGAAGCTTACAAATGTCCATCACACTAGATGCCTCAGGCCCTCAGAATGCTCAGGTTCTTAGGTGGTTGGTGCACCTGTAGAGGAACAGTGCCTGTATACACAGCCATGGTATGGAAGAGCATCAGCTACAAGGGTTTGAGTTTTCTGCCACTTGCTGTGTTAAGACCTTTGGTAAGCACACCACTCTTAGCTTTCAGCTATTGTGGTTCCCTGCTTTGCTATCTATCTTCTTGAAGTGTTAGATGAAAGCAGTTGATAGCGTTTAATTTCTCTTGGTTTAGAATATTCTGACTGATTAATTAAAACACTGAGGTAACTGTTGGAACCTTTGATAAGGTGGATGCTTTTATTTTTTTCCCGCTGGAAAGATTTTGTGTCTGCTGTGATCGTCAGCTGCAGGCTACTCAAATAGGTGAATTTTGCAGGGTAGAACTTTGGAATTGTATTCTTTAAGAAGTTGAATGCCTAGTATCTCTCAGTGCATTTATTTAAAAGGAAAAAAAAAGTTGTGTTTTTGTTTTTTAATCCTAGGGATTTTGCTTTTTGCCTATACTGTAGCCAAAACAAAGACATTCTAGATTCCTTAAATGTCAGTGTTTGGTAGCTTCATTTAGACCTTGTATTCCCATCATAAAAACCACAGAACATGATTGCGTTTTAATGTACCAGGCACTATATACAAGAAGAGAAAGCAAATTACCTACCCTTGGAGAACTCATTCTCACCAGAGTTACTATAATAGTATGATAAGTACTCTGACAGATAACACAAGCATTATAGAAAAGACAGTAATTTTGCTAAGTAGGGAAAAATGTGAAGGCAGAGGAAAAGACATTTAAACTTTACCTTGAAAGATTAGCTAAAAACTTCCTTAAAGCCATGTTTCACATAAATACCTTAGGTTGCTGATCCTTGACTTAAACTGGTGGTGTGGGTACATGGACAAAGGCAGACACAATTAATTGGTTCCATTTTTAAGCAGTAAGAGGCTTGTAAAAACTATCTTTAAAAATAAAAATGCTGGGGCTTCCCCGGTGGCGCAGCGGTTGAGCGCTGGGTTGCGAAGCTGCCGCGGCCTCTGCCGCGCCGGTTCGATCCCCGGCTGCTCCCCGGCCACTGGAGGAGGGTCCCACATGGCGCGCAGACCTCTCCTGCCACCCGCTGCTCCCCTCAGCAGTGTACTTCGGTCCTTCTGCCTGCTCTGCCCCTGCTCTGGCTCTGGTGAATTCTCTCACCCTCCCGTGCTTCTGACTGTACCCAGTGCATGTATAAACGAACAAACAAACAAACAAATAAATAAATAAAACATGCCTTAAAAAAAAAAAAAAAAAAAAATAAAAAAAAAAATAAAAATGCCGGGCCTCCCCGGTGGCGCAGCGGTTGAGCGCTGGGTTGCGAAGTCGCCGGCAGCCTCTGCAGCACCGGTTCGATCCCCGGCTGCTCCCCGGCCACCGGAGGAGGGTCCCACATGGTGCGCAGACCTCTCCTGCCACCTGCTGCTCCCCTCAGCAGTGTACTTCGGTCCTTCTGCCTGCTCTGCTCCCCGCTCTGGCTCTGGTGAATTCTCTCACCCTCCCGCATTTCTGACTGTACCCAGTGCTTATATAAATAAATAAATCTAAAAAAAAATTAAAAAATAAAAATAAATTAAAAAAAATAAAAATGCCCATTGGAAAAGAATCCACTATACTGTAGAAAATTTGAAGAATGGGTGGAGGGGAACCATAATTATTTCCCCATCATGTTGGCGTTCTGGCTTGTCTTCCTCTAATGAGGACTGTTGCTGTTGTGAGTGCTACACTAGCACAAGAAGTCTGCTTTTAAAGTCATTTATGGCTGTGGTACACATGGGTTGATGGCTGAGGCCAAGGAATAAGTATGGAGTAGTTCACGTGATCATACTGTTTTGTCCTGGGTTTGTTTTCAGGCATAGTTGAGTGCAATGGAGGAGTGGCGGAAGAAGATGAGGTGGAGGTCCTCCTTGCCCAGGAGCCAGCTGCTGATCAGGAAGTGCCAAGAGATGCTATCTTGGCTGAACAGTCCCCAGGAGAATTTGACTTTAATGAGTTCTTTAACCTTGATAAGGTGCCATGCTTGGCTTCGGTGAGTACAGCAGCACACATGCCAATATGAATGGAGCAGTTAACTTTATGGTTCAATTTGACCTCAATTTTTAAGATAGCTCTATTGAAAGTATTATTTGCTAGCTGTCTTGGGGTCTTTTGGTTCTTATTTTTAAGTATTATTTAAATTTGTGTTGGCCTTGTTTTGCAGTTTAATAGAAATGACTGCGTCTCGAACTCTTTCCAGGCTGGTAGCATTGATCTAAGAATTCTTCAGATATTTAAGAACATTGTCTGGTTTACTTTCAAGTAGTTAAGAGTTGTAAAGATTTACTGTGGAAGTGCATTTTTATAACTGGTGATTGGTATCATGCTGATGTACATTCCTTGGGTAAGGCTAATGTACATTCCTTGGGTAAGGTGGTACCGCTGTGATGTGATAGTTCCAAAAACCTTTACTAAAAAGGGCCTTGAAGGACTCTCAGTGTTGCAGTGAAACCTTAAAGTTGTCTTTCTGGACATTTAAAGTAGAAACAATAAGACATCCCCAAATCTTCACTTACTACTTGCTCCTATAGTCTTGGCCATTTAATTAGTGTAGGCTTGTCAAGTTTTTGGAGGAAAGATCTGTGTCTGATGCACACAGAAGCGAGTATTTTTTTTTTTTTAAAGATTTATTTATTGGGCCTCCCCGGTGGCGCAGCGGTTGAGCGCTGGGTTGCGAAGCTGCCCGCGGCCTCTGCGGCGCCGGTTCGATCCCCGGCTGCTCCCCGGCCACCAGAGGAGGGTCCCACATGGCGCGCAGACCTCTCCTGCCGCCCGCTGCTCCCCTCAGCAGTGTACTTCGGTCCTTCTGCCTGCTCTGCTCCCCGCTCTGGCTCTGGTGAATTCTCTCACCCTTCCGCGCTTCTGACTGTACCCAGTGCATGTATAAACAAAAGAAACAAACAACAAACCAGCAAACAAATAAATAAAGCATGCCTCTATAAAAAAAAAAAAAAAAAAAAAAAAAAATAAAGATTTATTTATTTTTACAAGCACTAAATTCTAACTTATGTAGTTACAATTAAGTCTTTGTTCTTTAATTCCCCACAACTGTACTGCCTTTAAAGCACAAAAGAAGGCCTCCCCTGGTGGCGCAGCAGTTGAGCTCTGGGCTGCGAAGCTGCCCGCAGCCTCTGCAGCGCCAGTTCGATCCCCGGCCGCCAGGCAAGGCACAATTGAACACTGACGCGCAGACCTCTCTTGCCGCCCGCTGCTCCCCTCAGCAGTGTATTTCTGGTCCTTCTGCCTGTTCTGTTCCCCACTCTGGTGAATGCTCTCACCCTCCCGCACTTCTGACTATATACCCAGTGCTTGTATAAATCTTAAAGAAAAAAAAAAAAAGCACAAAAAAGAGGAATAAGAACTCATCACCAACTTATCCTTTGGCTCTCTCCCTCACCCAAAACTTGGCTACTAGTAAGCAATAAGTACTAGGTTAGGAAGTCTCTCCATTGACATGCGCTGCTCTTTAAGCTATATATTCCATAATACACACACTCAAAAGCAAAGCTGGGGTTAGTAAATGCCAGTGTTCAATTGTGCTATATAACCAACTGGATGGACTCTAATATAATACTGTGGAAAAATAAGAAAGACATATGTAAAATTGGAATAGCAAATTGTAAATGTTACATACAGTGCTTGAAATTATACCTGGCACATAATTAACATGCCACAAATGTTAGTTACTAATAGGTATAAACCAGATTATACCTATATTTGTAAGTTGTATTTACTGACATTGCAACATATTAGAAATTGCCAAAAATTTATACAAACTGAAATTTTGTATCCTATGTACAAATTTCAGTTAAATAATTAGAAATAAATTTGTATATATGATGCAACTCTTATTACAGTGCCTGACACAGAACAGGTGCTGAAATATGTTGGGGGAAAAAACGGAAATCAAAATGTAATCCTAAACTATATAGAGTGATGAAGAAGAACATGATAATAACCTTATATGCATTCATAAGAAAATTTTCAAAAATCAGTAAAACTGAGCAAAACAAATACAAAGTTTCCATAAATGTGGAAACTAAAATAAAAAAGCATTTATGAATAAAACTTAATAGCTATAGGGCCTCCCCGGTGGCACAGCGGTTGAGCCCTGGGTTGCGAAGCTGCCTGCAGCCTCTGCAGCGCTGGTTCGATCCCCGGCTGCTCCCTGGCCACCAAAGGAGGGTCCCTCATGGCGCGCAGACCTCTCCTGCCGCCTGCTGCTCCCCTCAGCAGTGTACCTCGGTCCTTCTGCCTGCTCTGCTCCCAGCTCTGGCTCTGGTGAATTCTCTCACCCTCCCGCGCTTCTGACTGTACCCAGTACTTGTATGTATGTATGTATCAATCAATCAATAAATCTTTAAAAAAAAAAAAAAACTTAATAGCTATAATACAGCAAAAATATTTCACAATATCTGTTTGATAATCTGAGTAATTTGAATCTTAGTATGATTTGTCTAAACAACCTTTGTTTAAAAGACCAAACAGTCCATGTAGCTTATGCTACAAATGCTACTGAAAATCTAGTCTCGAAAGAGCAACTGATATATACCAGAACACAGTTCATGGCATCCTCTTCTCTAGCAGCTGATGAGTGACAAGGAAGTACAGAGGATGTCTTGAACAAGAAGTCAGAGCTACGGGTTCAGATCTCAACTTCTGTACCAAAATACAGGAGCAAGCCACTGCTGCTAGAGCATCCAGCTTGCTCTTTGGTAAAAATGACTGACTAGATAAACTCGTAAGATTCAAGTTTAAAATGTTTTTAGGGCCTCCCTGGTGGTGCAAGGGGTTAAGTCTCAGCAGTATGAAGCTGTTGGCAGCCAGGGAGCAACCCACTTGGTACAGCAGACCTCTCCTGCCTCGCAGACTGCTCCCCTTAGCAGTGTCTTTCAGTCAGTTCTCCTGTTCTGCGCCCCACTCTGTCTTTGGTGAATCCTCCGCACGCCCCAGCCCACACCTCTGGCCTACATTCCAGCTCTTGTTTGCATAAATAAATAAATCTTTTAAAAAAATAAATACAATGTTTTTAGTTTCTTGAAATTGGCATTTCCAGGGTCTCCCCGGTGGCACAGTGGTTGGGCGCTGGGTTGCGAAGCTGCCCGCAGCCTCTGCAGCGCTGGTTCGATTCCCCGGCTGCTCCCCGGCCACCGGAGGAGGGTCCCACATGGCGCGCAGACCTCTCCTGCCGCCCGCTGCTCCCCTCAGCAGTGTACTTCGGTCCTTCTGCCTGCTCTGCTCCCCGCTCTGGCTCTGGTGAATTCTCTCACCCTCCCACGCTTCTGACTGTACCCAGTGCTTGTATAAATAAATAAATAAATCTTTAAAAAAGAAATTGGCATTTCCAGTAAATGTGTTTAAAAGTAACTTTGTTTTTACTTTTTGGTTTTGGTTATAGTAAAACTTAGCTTCTATAACAGAAACAAAGTTGGTAATGGATCAAAAAATGGAAATGACTTTTTCAGCACTTACTGTTCCCTCTGGAAAAAGTCCTGATATTTTATATTCATTTCCTTTTTCATGTGTATCTTCTGACCTTTTTCCTATACAATAAGAGGAAAAATAATAATTAAAATGCAGACATTTTTGCTATCTATAACATTTCAAACTCTTTCAATATTTTTAATCACTGTAGCATTGCATTTAGTTACTTTTTATTTTATTTTTTAAGATTTATTTATTTATGCATGCAAGAACTAAGGTACAGGCCAGAGATGCGGGGAGTGAGAGGATTCACCAGAGACAGAATGGGGAACAGAACAGGCAGATTGACCAGAGTACACTGCTGAGGGGAGCAATGGGCAAGATAGGAGAGGTCTGCTACACCATGTAGGTTGCTTCCTGGCTGGCTGGGGAATTGAACTGCAGTTGTTGGCCACAGCTTGATAGCGCTGTCTTTAACCCCTACAACACCAGGGAGGCCCCTAGTTACTTTTTAAATAATTCCTGTCCTGTCCGTGACTGAGGTAATTACATTTTGGGTACATTTCTCATTTTTTCACAGTGAAATCACTCAATGTTTCTCTTCTTACTTGGATCATTGCAAAATTAGTCAGCATTATAAGGTGTGAGAATCTATGAGTGGAATATGGTTGAAACTGTGTCAATTTTCTGTGGTCCAGAAAATAAATGTACCACCAGCAAAATGTACTACAAGCCAAATTAGGGTCTTGAATTTAAATCTGTTCTAGAGTTCAAAAGAAGTATTTTTTCACATGGTTTGGGTATATTAGAAAATTCTTCCAGGTAAGAGTAAGAGTATATATTTAATCTCCCACTGCTTAATTTTAGAAACTGTTAGTTCTAGACTTCAGATAAAACAAAGTCACTAACTTTATCATCCAGAAAAACCCAAGTTTTTGTTTATCGTTGGTATAGAAGTATATGCCTTATTTTCAAGGATGTGCCTCATTTTTGTTTTTTTTTTTTTGTTTTGTTTTTTTTTTTAAAGATTTATTTATTTATACAAGCACTGGGTATAGTCAGAAGCGCGGGAGGGTGAGAGAATTCACCAGAGCCAGAGCGGGGAGCAGAGCAGGCAGAAGGACCCAGGTACACTGCTGAGGGGAGCAGCGGGTGGCAGGAGAGGTCTGCGCGCCATGTGGGACCCTCCTCCGGTGGCCGGGGAGCAGCCAGGGATCGAACCGGTGCTGCAGAGGCTGCAGGCAGCTTCGCAACCCAGCGCTCAACCGCTGCGCCAACGGGGAGGCCCTGTGCCTCATTTTTGAATTGACATTTGCTTTATCTTTTCATGAGAACACAGCACAAAGACCATTTACAGGATTCATGAAAGCATAGAATTGAAAATTCATTTTTTTTTAAGATTTATTTATTCATACATACAAGAACCAGGATACAGCCAGACATGCGGGAGGGTGAGAGGATTCACCAAAGACGGAGTGGGGAACAGAACAGGCAGACTGAGTGAAACACACTACTGAGGGGAGTAGCAGGTGAGACAGGAGAGGTCTGCTGTGCCACGTGGGATCCTCACCAACTGGCCGTGATCAAACCTGCACTGCAAAGGCTGTGGACAGCTTCACAGTGTTGCGCTCAACCACCTGTGCCACTGGGGAGGCCCGAAAACTCATTTTTTAAAAAGAGATTAAATCTAGTTTTTGAGGATTAGTAATAGAAATTACTCTTATAAAACAGTAAAGAAATTATTTCTGATCTTAGTGCATCATTTAATTATACCCCCATATGTTTCAAAACAAAATATGAAAAGTCTTCATTAAGTTCAAAGAGATGTTAGAAATCAGTTAAAAGCTAATCTTCCACATTCTAACACTTTGTAACTTTGGCCTGGAATTATGATTTATATGAGCTCTACTTTTTAGCTTTTGGCTGTAGAAATTGTCATCGCTGAATTTCATGATATTCATTAGTTTGGAGCAGTTTGAAGGAAGGGTTTTATCAGCTCTTCATTCCTGATATTCAGTTGAAGGCCACCCATCAGCTTGGCAATGATATGCTTTACTCTGGTGTTGATTTTGGTTTTTTTTTGTTCCCACTCCTTTGGTGCTGATTTTGATTTTGAAATTGTCCTGAGACTATTCAGTAACTCATGGGTTTTCTAATAAGCAAAGGAAACCAAAACACTCTGTGCCATCAGGTTTTTCTTTATATGCTTAGAAAGTACATGGTTGATTATACCCAAGTTCCCAAGTTGAGGTTGCACAGAAATGACCCAGGAAGGGAAGAAAAAAACAAACATGTTCAAAATCCTAAGTTCTGAGGGTGTTTACTTTCAGGTCACCAGCATCAAGGGAAGTTTCAAAGTGACACATTCTTAATATTGGAACCTTTACTATCATTGTCTTTTTTTTTTTTTTTTAAAGATTTATTTATTTATATAAGCACTGGGTACAGTCAGAAGCGCGGGAGGGTGAGAGAATTCACCAGAACCAGAGCGGGGAGCAGAACAGGCAGACGGACGAAATACACTGCTGAGGGGAGCAGCGGGCGCGGCAGGGGAGGTCTGCACACCATGTGGGACCCTCACTGGTGGCCAGGGTTCAAACCGGCGCTGCAGAGGTTGCAGGCAGCTTCGCAGCCCAGCACTCAACCGCTGTGCCACCAGGGGAGGCCCTGTCATTGTCTTTTTTAACAAGAAACTATTAGCTACTTTTGTCTTTCCCTCTAGATGATAGAAGATGTTTTGGGAGAAGGGTCAGTCTCTGCCAGTCGATTCAGTAGATGGTTCTCTAACCCAAGCCGTTCAGGAAGCCGATCCAGCAGTCTTGGGTCAACACCACATGAAGAACTGGAGAGACTTGCAGGTAAAATGGCTTCTGGCCTTCAACATAGACTTGAACTTGCTCTGACATGGTTCATTCTGTCTTCATTAGTCAGGGATCTACCAGAGAATCTGTGGATACTGAAAAGTCTTCATTTCTGTCCTTTTAATACTGTTGAAAATATGTTACTATGCTTTATTAGGACCAGTTAGTCATGAATATGTTTTCTTACAATATTAGGTCTGGAGCAAGCCATCCTTTCTCCTGGACAGAACTCGGGGAATTATTTTGCTCCTATACCATTGGAAGACCATGCTGAAAATAAAGTGGATATTTTAGAAATGCTACAGAAAGCCAAAGTGGATTTAAAACCTCTTCTTTCCAGCCTTTCTGCAAATAAAGAAAAACTTAAAGAGAGCTGTGAGTGTTTGTAAGGTTCTCCTTAAGTTTGGATGCTTAAGGCAATTGGCCCCAATATACTGCTATTTCATCACAAGTCACGCAGGTGGTAGGATATGCTTAATGTCATTCAAAAAATCTTCTAGTCAAACAATACCACCTTCCTGATAACTGATATTCTGTGGATCATGGGCCCCATTAAAAATTTTTTCTCCACATTCTCCTCCAGTCTGATTATAGCACTCCAATGAGTGTGGTAGTCATGATGACTAACTTGGCATCTCCTCACACCTTTGACCCAGTCTGCCATGCTCTGTCTTAGGGTACTAAGCCCTCTCCATGAAACCTTAGTGATAGAATAACCAAAGTACAGTACATGTAGCAATTTTGCTGATACTGGGCTATCTGAGATTCCTGTCCCAGGTAACAAGTCTCCAGAAGACCCATTTGAAGTCCTCCAGCAGGATGTGCGATAGCATCTTGTCAAGTGTTAAAACTAGCATACCACAGTTGTGATTCCCTAGATCCCTAGTTTGTCTTATTAAGTATGCAATTATGGCCTTGTTCCCCTGAGCAGCTATGATTTTAAGTGTTCAGTTTGTCTATTTTGGGTGTCAGTATTTTCTGACAACCTCATTTCAACTGTGAAATATTTTCACGTTAACCATGATGATTGTCAAAGAATTCCTACCAAGTGTTCTTTGTTTGACTTATCAGCACATTCTGGAGTTGTGCTTTCAGTGGAAGAGGTAGAAGCAGGACTCAAGGGCTTGAAGGTGGACCAGCAAGTGAAGAATTCAACTCCCTTCATGGCAGAACACTTAGAGGAGACCCTGAGTGCTGTTACCAACAATCGACAGCTCAAAAAAGATGGAGATATGACTGCGTTCAACAAGCTTGTGAGCACCATGAAAGCAAGTGGAACTTTGCCTTCTCAGCCCAAAGTTAGCGTAAGTATTTGGCTAAAGCCCTGGCCTCTTTCTACTCTACTTCCCACCATAATAATGGATTTTTTAAACGGTATTCTGAGTAAGCTCAAAATTCTTTAGTAGTCATTTGTAGTTAATTGATGCTTTTAAGTTCTTTAGTTATTGCTTATGCTATTTGTTACTAGCAAAAGCAGGTTTGGGCCTCCCCGGTGGTGCAGCGGTTGAGCGCTGGGCTGAGAAGCTGCCTGCAGCCTCTGCAGCGCCAGTTCAATCCCCGGCCACCAGCGAGGGTCCCACATGGCGCGACAGACCTCTCCTGCCGCGCCCGCTGCTCCCCTCAGCAGTGTGCTTCATCGGTCTGCCTGTTCTGCTCCCCGCTCTGGCTCTGGTGAATCCTCTCACCCTCCTGTGCTTCTGACTATACCCAGTGCTTGTATAAATAAATAAATAAATCTTGGGGGGGAAAAAAAAGGAAAAAGCAGGCTTGTTGGTTAGTTTTATGCATTGTGGGTGACGATATAAAGATTGAAAGATTCAGATATAACTTTAAGTCACTACTAAAAAAAGGTAAAAACAAATACTATTGCATGGGTTGCAGAGAAGGGTTGTTCAGATACTTAAAATAACTTACCTTTTTTTATGTTAAAATTTCTTTCCTCTTGTATCTTCTAATTACTACAGGATACTTAGGATTACCTGCTTTCTTGATTAGGCAACTCACAGTTATGCAAGTCATTTGTAAAGTATTTAAGATGGAGTTTTCAAGACAGTTGCATAGTGTTAATTTACTAATGGAAAAGCTATGACTCCAAACTTGTAAAACACCTTTAAGAATGATATTGAGTTAGAAGGTGACTATACGTCAGTAAATGCAGTTAAGTAGGACATACTTTGTCTTAATGATTAGAGGTTAGGTCTTAGCTATGGCCTGTGTCAATATTGCTATTCATTGATGGTGTGAATAGGGAAAGCAGGGTAAATCTGAATAATAAACTTACACTTAATCGCTAAGTTATAACAAATTTACCAAACTCAGTTTTGTCTTGTTTTCTCCTGACACCTCATCTGGATACTACAAGTTAGCCAAGGTAGCACATGTTTGATTCACTGTGCCTTGTACCAAGGAAAAGCAACTGATTTTTGATATTACTTATCTGACCACCAGTTAATGATAGAGATAACATAGGTGCCATTTTTCCTGGCCTCACTACTAGAAGTGACTCTCTCTCTGAAAAGGGATATCTACTTATTTTTAGGTATCTGACCACATCATGCCAGTTACAAGGGAAAGTGTCTTTTAACTGAGTTATCAGGTTAAAAGATTGCAAGTTACTATGTTCGCCTTTCTTGTTATTTTTGGGGCTTGCTGACAGGGTGCTGATTATAGTGGTATGGATCAAATTTTGTAAGTAACTTCTTTTAGTGTAAGTTGAGTAAAGAAATGGAGGGAGGGGCCTCCCTGGTGGTGCAAGGGGTTAAGCGTCAGCATTATGAAGCTATCCGCATGAGTTCAATCCCCGGTCAGGGAGCTAACCCACATGGTAGCAGACCTCTCCTGTCTCGCCTGCTGCTCCCCTCAGCAGTGTATTTCAGTCAATCCGGCTGTTCTGTTCCCCACTCTGTCTCTGGTGAATCCTCTCACTACCCCCCACCCCCGGCCTGTACCCCAGTTCTTGTATGCATAAATAAATCTTAAAAAAAATGGAGGGAAAGGTGGAATTCAATAGTTTACAAGATGCTCAACATTTGTTTCAGATATGGTTCTAGAGTTTGATATTAACATAGTTGTCTACCTGCATTGTGAAGGTAACTGGCTTGATGTTGGGGTTTTGTTCTGAAATATATCTGGTTTCAGCCATGAGAAAGAGCCTCAAAAACCTGTGTAAAAGGGTGAATGATATAATTCAAGTTGTTAGGCAAAAAGTAACAAACTCAATCTAACCTAGAAAAGATAGCAATAAGGAAAGACGTATGACAAACACACCAGGTGTCATCCTGAAATACTACTTTGATGTATGTGTTGTTACTACACCTGTGTATGTTATGCATACTGTTTTTGATGTGCCTCCATCTGTTTATAGAGTCAGTGGTATTCCTTCGTCCCCCAAGTAGGACATGTTAGTTCAATCTAAACTCATGCAAATTGAATTGTAGATTCTATCCTCCAAATATAGTAAGTCATATAATATAAAGTTGTTTTTGTTAGATGAAATTAAATGATTCTTGAAGAGATCGCTGATTTAAATCACCAATCAGATGATCAATTCTAAAATCAACAGTGAAACACTTGGATATCTTTGGATTGTCGTCAGGCCTGCCTGAAGACACTACCGTGATCTTGGCAGCTCCAGCTAGAAGGCAAACTACCAGAGAAGCACTTGAGGCAGAGCTAAATGGGCACAAGAATGTCTTGAAGTGCAGGAAATAATGCAGGTTGGATGCAAAATATAACTGCTGCTACATTAAAAGAACAAAAAGTGGAGCGTTTGAATTTTGCCCTGTATGTGAGACCAATTTTGGAACAACATGTTTTATAATAATGAAGTTTAAATTTCCTGAATTATAACCATTCTGGCCAAAATTGCAAGTCTCTAATAAGATTTTAAGTGCCATCTATTATCTGTAAATCTTGATAAAGGTAATGGGTAATGAGGATTGCCTCAAAAATTACAATCTATAGGGCCTCCCTAGTGGCGCAGGTGGTTGAGCACAGCGCTGTGAAGCTGTCCGCAGCCTCTGCAGTGCCGGTTCAGTTCCCACCGGCCTTGGAGCAACCCACATAGCGAGCAGACCTCTCCTGTCTCGCACACTGCTCCCCTCAGCAGTGCATTTCAGTCAATCTGCTGTTCTGTTCCCCGCTCTGTCTCTGATGAATCCTCTCACCCTCCCGCACATCTGGCCCGCACCCCAATTTTTGTATGAATAAAATAAATCTTTTAAAAAAAATTACAATCTATAAATTACCAGCATTTCCTACATGTGGCTTCCTGCTAAGTGTGTGCTCCCCTATTCCACCATTTTGTTTTTTTCCTTCTTTTTGGTCACAGTGATAGAAACAGTGAAATGGATTAGGGTTACCACAGGAAGGAAAAGACCTGAGAGACTCTGAGGGAGTCTAGAAGATTCTTTCCAGTCCCAGATCTTTGGGACCTGTGTGATGACAGTGAGACAAGTGGATCTAAGCTAGTTTTGTTATTTGGACATCATTCTGCTGTTTTGTCAACTCCATGGAATTTTTAATGCTTTCTTGTGAGCCCAAACTCTGTAAGTTAAGTGTGGAAGAAGGTTAAAACTAATTTTCTTTTGATGTTTTTAGCGAAACCTTGAAAGCCATTTGATGTCCCCTGCTGAGATTCCAGGCCAGCCTGTCCCTAAGAACATTCTGCAGGTACTTCTCAGTCTCATACTGGGGCCTCAGAGTCCTTCTGAGTGGTTTTTTGGTGTTGTGGTCCAGCTTTAGGCATTAGAGAATGATTCATGTTGCCTTGGCAATTGAGGATATGAAATCACTGCTGACATGCTTCTATTGCTGTTAATCTCAATGTGGGGCAGGGAGTTGGCTAAAATAAGATGACAAAGTCAGTCCTTGATGTCCAATTTGCAGGTTTGCAATTTCTATGAAAATTGAAAGTACATAACTTGTATTTGGAGCACTAACTTAAAGCAAATGCTTTTAACTGATTATTTTGAGAAATGTGTTGCATGTACCTGTGCCAAGTCCCTCATTAGAGCATCAGGGAGATTCATCATTGGCTTTCAAAATTTAGTCCATAGTCTCTGGCTAAGAGGAAAAACTAAATTTGTTCACATAGATTTGGCTTTCTCCCTTTAGGAACTTCTGGGTCCACCAGTTCAGAGACCTGCTTCTTCCAATCTTCTGAGTGGCCTTATGGGGAGCTTGGAGTCTACATCTTTACTGGCCCAAAGAGCACCCTCTCCTCCCTTGTCACAGGTGTTTCAGACACGAGCAGCCTCAGCAGACTACCTTCGTCCTAGAATACCATCACCAATTGGTAAATATGATTGTGCATAGATGGCTCCCTCCCCAACATGTTATACTTGTTTTATGGATCTAGGGACAAAGTCCTTCCTTTGGATCCTTGAAGAGTTTCAAAGGATTTATTATTTGAATGCGGGTTTATTATTTATTATACTTGGGGAGGGGAATACAAATGTGGAAGATAGTTTATTATTCAAACTGCCCTTTTAGATTAGTAAGTTCACATTATAGGTTTGGGTTTGTTTTTTCTTTCTCTTGAAATTGATCTAAATTGGTTCCAGCTCTTTTAGTCCTCTTTATGTTGGGACTTCAATCCAAAAAAGTTAATTTGACTCCCTTTTTCCTTGATAGGAGAGTAGGGGTGCTCTATTTCTCATAAAGTTGGTACACAGTCAACTGTGAGGTCTTGTGTCTAATTAGAACAAGAACAGAAGCTCTTTCAGAAACCTGTCCAACCCATGTATTTTACAGAATTTTTTGTTCCTGCCACCCTAGACCACCTTATGCTTCTGGCCAGTCTGGGCCCTGCCTGTCATGCTTTAAAAGGAAGTTTTTATAATTTTCCTTCCACAGTTAGTGAGTTAGAATGGAAAGAACCTCAAGAAACCTCAGAGCACTGGCCTCTGCGTTGGTACCATTGGACTTGGTGATAATGGGCTAAATCATGGCCTAGAAAAGCTTTTCTCTCACAAATAGAGGTCTCAGCCTAAAGGGACAAGCCGAAAACTTGGTGGAGAAGATGGATATATATATACCAGCATGCTGGGCAATCAAGTCCTCTGCTTGAGGTCCATATAGCCCACTGTCAGTACAGGAGTCAGTGCTCCTTTAAGAGATGGTGTCCTGCTAGGAGGAGCATGCATTAGTGATAACGCCTCTCTAATGGATGATTTCTCTCTTTACACTCATTGTTATTGTAACTTTCCCAACAGGTTTCACACCAGGACCACAGCAACTTCTTGGAGATCCATTCCAAGGCATGCGCAAGCCCATGAGCCCTGTCACAACCCAGGTCGGGCTAAACTCTTCCTCAAACTCAATCTGTTGCTTGATTTCCTCTTACTATTTTTTTGTGGGATGGAGAATTGAATTGTTATTATGCTTGGAAGTGGTTCTGAACTATAATTCAAGCTCAGTGCTGAACAGTTAAAGTCATACTTAGTTAAAATCCTGGTAAGTTTATAGCAGCACAATTAAAAGTTTGTAGTATGAAATTTCACTTGGCTGTTACTTAAACATAAGATATAGCAAGGTGATACGTGAGGAGAAAGTGCATTGACTGTCCTCTTTTTTCTGCTGATCCTCTCCTGCCACTTCGGTTCAGCAGATGAGCCAGCTAGAATTGCAACAGGCAGCTTTGGAGGGGCTGGCCCTACCACATGACCTTGCAGTGCCAGCAGCAAACTTCTACCAGCCTGGTTTTAGCAAACCACAAATGGACAGAACCCGAGATGGATTCAGAAACCGGTATGTTACCAGTCCTACTCTTTTTTTTTTTTTTTTTTTTTTTAGATTTATTTTTATTTATTTATACAAGCACTGGGTACAGTCAGAAGCGCGGGAGGGTGAGAGAATTCACCAGAGCCAGAGCAGGGAGCAGAGCAGGCAGAAGGACCAAAGTACACTGCTGAGGGGAGCAGCATGGCGCAGGAGAGGTCTGCGCGCCATGTGGGACCCTCCTCTGGTGGCCTGGGAGCAGCTGGGGATGGAACCGGTGCTGCAGAGGCTGCGGGCAGCTTCGCAACCCAGCTCTCAACCGCTGCGCCACCGGGGAGGCCCACCAGTCCTACTCCTGTGGAGATTTGCTAATTAATTTTCCTCAGATGAGGGGCCCCCCTGGTGGCGCAATGGGATGGGTTGAGCGCTACGCTGTGAGGCTGTCCACAGCCTCTGCAGCACAGGTTCGATTCCCGGCTGGCCAGGGAGAAACCCACATGGCATGGCAGACCTCTCCTGTCTCGCCCACTGCTCCCCTCAGCAACCCCGTCTGCCTGTTCTGTTCCCCGCTCTCTCTGGTGAATTTTCTCACCCCCCCGCACCTCTGACCTGTACCCCAGTTCTTGTATAAATAAATAAATCTTAATTTTCCTCAGATGAGCAAATTAGCCACATACTGATAATGTTGTACAGTATAGAGAATTCCATCTCTAAATGTTACTAGAAGCGGAAACACAATTGGATTCTACTTCAGGCACATACTTTTCATCCTAAATTATTTTATTGATCTAAAGGATTCATTTTTACAAAAGTAGCCTCTAGCATAGTTCCTTGTTTATGAGATGATGAAAAACAAAACACCTATCTTCCTCCCCCAGATTCCTTAAGTTATCAAACTATCCCTTTGTTGATCAAGGGTTTGTTGGTCTGAGCTTAACAATTGAGTACTTACTTCTCTCTCCTCCTGTTCTTTTCACTAGTGGTAACAAGTAGTCAAAGGAAACTAACCACAAGTGGGAAGTGGCAAAATTATTGTAAAATAAAACCTTCCAGAAAAGTGCACTAAGCAGCTATATAGCTTCTTATAAGGCAAACTCTCTTGTTAACTACCCAGCAGCTTTGTGCCCTGTCCCAGTATCACCTTTCCTCCCCACAGTCACCAGTGTCTGGTCTTTAAAAATAAACACTGCCTTCATTTTTTTGAGTTTCATTACCAATATATGTATTTCTGAACATTACAGTTTAGTCCTGACAGTATTTGGTAATAAGAAATTTTTATGTTTTGATGTGATTCTTAAAATTGCCTTATCAGTGCCTCAGTGTCTTGTTTCAGCTGGGTTTGTATGTTGACATTTTCAGAAGACATTGAGAATCATAAGTGACTTTAAGTGCATCCCATCTATATTAGCTCTCAGTGTAAATAGAGCTCAGAAGTGATCTGCTGAGCCCCTTTCACTGGATTTCACTCTAAAACAAAATGTATTCATTAGTATTTACCAATATGATTTGTTGACTTTAAAATCACTTTCACTGTCCAGAACAACCTGGTAAGGTAGATAAGAGTAAATAGCTGCATTTTATAGATACAGACACAGGTTTTTAAAATGTGACTTACTCAAAACTAGCAAGTAGACCTAAATCAGTATCAGTGGAACCTTCATGTTTTAGATCAGATGTCAGCCTCTCAGGCTCTCTCTGAACATCCTGCACATAGCTGTGTCCCTTGGTAGGCATGCCTTTCCTTTCTTTGCTTTATTTTTTTATTGTACTTACCATCTTCTAGAATACTCTTCTTTTGTCGACCTGTAACCCCTCTCTATCCAGCAACCACAAGAATATAGTGAAGGCAGAGATTATTTTGTCTATTTTGTTTACTACCATATCCCAGCATCTAAAACCATATGTGGGGGGCCTCCCTGGTGGCGCAAAGGGTTAAACACCGCACTATGAAGCAATCTGCGCAGCCTCTGCAGCACAAGTTTGATCCTCAGCCGGCCAGGGAGCAACCCACGTGGCACAGCAGACCTCTCCTGTCTCGCCTGCTGCTCCCCTTAGCAGTGTATCTCCGTCAGTCTGCCTGTTCTGCTCCCCACTCCATCTCTGGTGAATCCTCTCACTCTTCCCCCACCTCTGGTCTACACCCCAGTTGTTGTATGCATAAATAAATAAATCTTTCAAAAAATAATAATACCGTATCTAGCACATAGTAAGTGCTCACATGTGTTTACCCAATGAAGTTTGTTATGCAGAACCAGCAGATTTGAGATTTACCTTTTAAACACTTGTATTCTGACTCTCCCAACATTGTCATATTCAGAGTCTCAGTGTGGCAGCATTAGGGCTTACCTCGTACAGACTGGAAAGAAGTCATGGGTTTAGGATTCCCAGCTGCTTATTATTCTTAAATAAAATTTCAGAATCACTGACTATTTAGCACTTTTTGGGCTATGTGGTACAAGGTCTGACGTGACTGAAATGCAGTGACACGTTCCTTAGATGGCTAACTCATATTTCTTAGCTTGTCTACATCTTCATCAACCACTTTACTGTTTTCTCCTGTAACAGGAAGAATTAGTGGAATGTCTGTGGGGAAAGGGAATCTGTTCTTACTAACTTGGAAGGCCTGGAATCAACCTTCTATATACATAAGGATTGATTGGGAATGCTGCATGTAACCGGGTCTTAAAATAGCTGAAACTTTCAGCTCTCTATTTAATATGACCCTGTGTCTCACAGAACATCAGCCCTATGCCCAGAACTGTGCTAATAAGTGTTGCTCTCTGTCCTCTGGAGCACAGCCTGGCCCACAGAACGAAGGCCCTCCCTAGCTTACCTCACTGACACAAAATATACACACCAGTCCTGTATAACTCTACATTCCCACAGCCTTCCCAAGTCCCTGTACCTGTTCCTTCTACCTGAATTTTTCTCCATTTTGTAGTTTCTCATTGCTCACATCCAATTTAACCATCTCCTTCCCAGAGTTTTCCCAAAATCCCTTCAGCATGAACATCCTATCATTGCTTCTGCTTCTTGGCTGTTACTTGTATCTATTGATACCTAACGTCTACATGACTTGGTTTGCCCTTGGTTAGTATCTTTCCAAGTAGATGAAAGTTCTTACAAATCCCAGGACTATATTTTATTAAGCTTTTGTCTTCCCTCAGAATTTAGCATGTAGTTTTGCATATGCTAAACACTTATTAAATGAATTGGATAAGAGAAACAGGATGTTAAATTCCTCAGCTGTTTGAGTGATTGTGGTTTTAGGACTTGGGGTTTGAGCATCTTAGCGTTCACACTGATACTTCGTTCTATTCACAGGCAACAGCGAGTGACCAAGTCACCAGCACCTGTGCACCGAGGGAATTCCTCATCCCCTGCCCCTGCAGCACCCATCACAAGCATGGTCAGTGGCCTTTGCCTTTATGAATGACTCCTAGGTTTCTCCTTGTTAGTGCCTGTGTTGTTCCACTTGAATCCCAAAATGTTCATGAGTATTTTCCACAAAAATAATTGCTTTAGTCTTTTATACCTTCCCCTTTCAAGACACAATCTAACTCAGGCTTCTAGTGAAGCCCTTACATTGGGGAAAGTGTGTTCAGGAAATTGGTGGGTATGGGCCAGAGTGCACAAAGCAATGTGTAGTATAGTCAAACAACAGTTGGAAAAGGAAGCTGAAGAGGACAAGGGTAAAAAGACAGGAGGTGAGGTAGGTGGGATGGCTAGGGTCAGTTCATGTAGTCCAGTAAAACATGTTGGGATGTTCACAAATTCAGATTCAGGTCTTAGTATTATGAATGAGGCTGGGTCAGAAAAGTTTGCTTATTTATGGTGTCAAGTATAATTTTACAACTTGACCCACGTACCAACCAGTGTATTTTTTTAAAATTTCATTCCCCCATAGACCTTTGTCATTAATCAGGGCTGACAGACGAGGGGAAAAACTGTTCTTGTGTACTTCAGGATTCCAAGTGGGTCTTTGTACTAAGCACCTTGAAGGCACAGGGTCTAGAAGCTTTTCTTTTCATAATTCACGCTTCTCCTGCCATTAGGGATTTGGAGTTTTATGAGCATAGTCACAAGTATTATGTAAAATCATGAAAGTAGAAATAGTGAAGAGATGGGAACAAATGACCACATATGTGAGTCCTAGTGGCTGAAGAGACTATCAAATAATTATACATCTTCTGGTAACCAAATTAAGAAGGAAAACATTAGAAATATGGAGTGATTTAGTTTCTGAGGTTGTTTCTAAAATGTCCTTTACGAGGGCCTCCCTGGTGGAGCAAAGGGTTAAGCACCACGCTCTTAAGCAATCCACAGCCTCTGCAGCACGAGTTCGATCCCTGGCCGGCCAGGGAGCTACCCACATGGCAAGGCAGACCTCTCCTGTCTCGCCTGCTGCTCCCCTCAGCAGTGTATTTCAGTCAGTCTGACTGTTCTGTTCCCCACTCTGTCTGTGATCCTTTTCCCCCTAACAGATCCTCTCAACCCTGCATCTCTGGCCTGTACCCCAGCTCTTGTATGCATAAATAAATTTTTAAAAATAATAATAAAATGTCTTTTGCGAGATGGAAGGACTGTTATTCCAGGGTATTCTTTTGGCTGTTCTTTCCCTCTCCCCAGCCTAGGGTTAGGCTAAAATAGAGACTGCATAGGCAGGTCCTCGTGACCCCAAAGGTAGGTTCAAACTATGTTCTAACTGCCTTTACTAGAGCTAAGTCTAGGTTGAGTTGTGAATAAGGTATAATATACTTGGTACAACCACCTGTTTGATCCATTCTGTTTCTTTTCCTTCAGCAGCTAGAGACCAGAATTCTGGAATTGGCCCCTGCTACCATGTAGCAGGGGGGACTCTGGAAACATGTGGAGTAGTTTAGCCAGTTAATCTTGACCTGATTAAGGAAAGGCATTCAGGGAATGTGCTAATGCTAATTGTTTTTCTCTGCAGCTTTCACCTTCTTTTACCCCTACCTCAGTGATTCGTAAAATGTATGAAAGCAAAGAGAAAAGCAAGGAAGAGCCAGCACCTGGAAAAGCAGCTGTTGGTGAAAATAAAGAGGACACTCAGAAGACCAGTGAAGGTACTACAGAGATGTTGAGGGTGTATTACTCAAGAAAGTATGTGATAGAGAACATGGACCTGAATAGTAACCATACTAACCTGATTCTCTGCAAAGCCCTGGCAAGAACTGTGGCTGCTCTGGATCACAGTTCTGTTTGACCAGTGAGAAGGGTTGGACCAGCTCTGTCACTTAACCCCTTGAAATTCTAACCAATCCAATAGTGATATAAGTGCTATCAGGATTAATCATCTTTATTTAGATTAAGATCCTTATTTGGGCTTCAGAGTTGAATTTATTAGTATACTTATTTGACAAATTAATCAACTAGTTTTACTACTGAAAGGTTTCCAGTCTGTGGAGGTTAAATGTCCAGCAAAGTTTGTACAGTGAGTTAAGGGGCACATGACAGGCTTTTAGGAGCTGCACAGTTGGAATTGTGAAGGACATGACAGATTCTAAAAACTAGGGTTTACATAGGTCTAGAGTATTGGTGGGAGCTTTTTGCCTATGAGAAAGCTTCTGGAAAAAACTGAGAAAATCTAGTTGTGCTACTAGAAAGGCAGTTTAGATTCCTTCACCAAACTTAAATAGATGTTTAAATTTTCTGTTGTAATCGATTTATATAATTTTACACTAGATTTTCCCCTTAAGTTAAAAAGCATGTTTATCCCAAGTGTCTAAAACAGGACTAGCTCCCACACAGATCTAGGCCATAGCCAAATGGACAGAAGCAAGGTGCCCAACTGAGTTGGACCACCAGTCACAGAGTTGGCTCCCCTGCCTATAGTTAATCCTAGGTTGGAAGGATTAGAAGAATAAAGATACAGGTATTTTAGGTTGTAATTTATAACTTCAGTCCCTTTGGATTTATAGTGTAGCAAAAATAATTTGTTCCAGCAAAGTATTTGAAGACTGGAAAACTTGGGGACTAGTTCCAGCTCTGCCCCTAATAATCCCTGTGACCTTAATTGGTCCTAATCATAAGGCAAACATTGGTCCTTACAGTGCAGTCCTCCAAATTTGTTGAGGGGATCAAATAAGGATTGTGAACTTTTTAAGAAATGAGATTTGGGCCTCCCTGGTGGCACAAGGGGTTAAGTCTCAGCACTATAAAAGTATCCGCAGCCAGTGCAGCACAAGTTTGATCCCCAGTCAGGGAGCTGACCCACATGGCACAGCAGACCTGTCTCCCCCCCTGCTCCCCTCAGCAGTGTATTTCAGTCAATCCGCCTGTTCTCCCCACTCTGTCTCTGGTGAATCCTCTCACCCCCTCACATCTCTGGCATACACCCCAACTCTTATATGCATAAGTAAAATCTTTTAAAAAAGAAAGTTAGTTTACTGGATGGATCATTGGGAGGACAGAATGTCTGCGAGAAGTTAGTTTACCAACACCAAAATATTCGTTTGGATCTTTACAGAGAGTCTCCTGTCACCCAACTCTGTGCACAGTGCTGATCGAGACTCTTCTCCAACTACAAATCCCAAATTGTCAACATTGCAGCGCTCTTCATGTTCTACCCCACTGTCCCAGACCAGCCGTTACACCAAAGAACAAGATTACCGACCTAAAGCAACTGGGAGAAAAACACCCACTTTGGTGTCCCCAGTTCCAGGAACACCCTTTCTCCGCCCTGTCCACCAAGTTCCCCTCGTTCCCCATGTCCCAATTGTTCGGCATGCTCACCAGCTTCACCCAGGGTTGGTCCAAAGGATGCTGGCCCAGGGAGTCCATCCACAGCATCTTCCGAATTTACTCCAAGCTGGTGAGTTTCTGACCTGGCGTGGGTCCTGGCAGGACAACAATTGCTAGCACTGATGAAATACTATACTGTGGGAGGCTTCCATCCCTAAAAAGAGATTATTAGATTTTTCCATCTAACTGATGGGCATTGGGTCTAATCCAACCTATCCCTTAGTCCATTAACAAATTAGCAACCTAAGCTTGAGCATTTTTCATTCTTAAAAAGCTTCATATCAATAAAACTAGTCAAAACTGGAAAATTTCCAGTAAATTTAAGATTACATCTCATCAGTTTTTCTTTGTGCTCCTCAGGTATGCTTCCTCCTGGGATGGATCTGACTCACTTACAGGGTCTATCTGGTCCAATCCTGGGTCAACCCTTTTACCCTTTACCTGCCACTAATCATCCTCTCCTAAACCCTCGTCCTGGGACACCTCTGCATCTGGCAATGATGCAACAGCAATTACAGCGCTCAGGTAAGTGTAGGAATGGGCTAGGTGAGCTACAGGTGGGCTGAATTGGCTTAAAGCTTTTGGACCAGTTTGAGTAGAAGGGAGGAAATGACAGTGACAGTTCATTCTTTATTCCCTTATCACAGTCTTGCTACGAAAAATTAACCAGAAACTAGGATGAGGTGAACCAGCCTCTGTGGGATTCCTGTCCCTGCAAAGATAGGAGGAGAACCAAGTGTGCTCTGGCTTTCTTTGTCCTTGTTTGGAGAAGAGGCTGAGAATCTTTCCAACAAAGGTTCAACACAGGGACTGCCCAGAGTAGATACCTTCTCACCAGTTAATATTAGCACTCCTATGATGTGACTGCTTGCCTTCTGAGGTAGTAATCACATCATTTAGGGTGGGTTCTCAGTGTGAATAGCTTCTAGATAGCTCATCTTTCAAAGGTATGTCTTCTGGCACTGTTAGCATTTTGCAAAAGAGTTTCCTAATGAAGCCCTTAATAAAGGGCTTTGGGGTTTTATGAGATATAATCTGAATGAAGCAGGACATGATATAGACCTATTTTCATGTTATGAATAATCCTTCCTTATCCCACAGTTCTTCATCCTCCAGGCTCTGGTTCCCAGGCAGCAGCTGTCAGCATTCAGACAACCCCTCAAAATGTACCCAGCAGGTCAGGCCTGCCCCACATGCACTCGCAGCTGGAGCATCGCCCCAATCAGAGGAGCAGCTCCCCGGTGGGCCTAGCCAAATGGTTTGGCTCAGATGTGCTACAGCAGCCCCTGCCCTCCATGCCTGCCAAAGTCATCAGTGTAGATGAATTGGAATACCGACAGTGAAGCAGGACTGGTGGGCTCACCTAATCCTGGACTTACGGCGGCACCTTGGCCAGGACTCTGCTTCCTCATTGTGGGATAATTTGGGGCTTTTCTTTGGAGCACTCTGCAAGGGTTCAGGCACCTGGCGCAGTCCGCATTATGAAGGAAGCTGGAAAGATCGTAACCAATTGAATGGAGCCCTCGTGGTCTGAAGAGGGTTGACAACATGCACGGTGTTGTCAATCCTGGATTGTCTGTTGTATATCTGTGTGGGTTTTTTTTTTTTTTGTAAAATATGTGAATGAAGTGTTGGTGTCTTCACCAAGAGGTGGCACCTAACCCTTATGTACAGACCTGTGTATAAACAACTTTTGTATATACATATAGGATAGCTTTTTTGAACTTATACAGCTGTACATAAAAGTAGCTGTTAGTAGTTAAGCCTCTGTGAAGTTTGAATTTTTTTCACTTGTATATTTGGGACTTTCTTGGTTGATTAAAGTTGCAGTTGCTGCGTAAGTGAAGCAAATGGCACTGTTGTGCTTATTTCTTCCTGTGCCCCTTTTGTCTCCAACCAGTGAAGCCATGAGGCTCTGTAGTTTTCTTTAGGGAAATGAAATTTTAAGTTTTCTATAAAACTGACACAACTGGGGGCCTCCCCGGTGGCGCAGCGGTTGAGCGCTGGGATGCGAAGCTGCCCGCGGCCTCTGCTGCGCCGGTTCGATCCCCGGCTGCTCCCCGGCCACCGGAGGAGGGTCCCACATGGCGTGCAGACTTCTCCTGCCGCCCGCTGCTCCCCTCAGCAGTGTGCTTCGGTCCTTCTGCCTGCTCTGCTCCCCGCTCTGGCTCTGGTGAATTCTCTCGCCCTCCCGCGCTTCTGACTGTACCCAGTGCATGTATAAACAAAGCAAACAAACCAGCAGACAAATAAATAAAGCATGCCTCTATAAAAAGGAAAAAAAAAAAAAAAAAAAAAAAACTGACACAACTGGGCCTCCCTGGTGGCGCAGACAGTTGAGCGCAGCGCTGTGAAGCTGTCCGGAGCCTCTGCAATGCTGGTTCAATCCCCACCGGCCGCAGAGATGCCCACATGGCGAGCAGACCTTTCCTGTCTCGTCCACTGCTCCCCTCAGCAGTGTATTTCGTCAGTCTGCCTGTTCTGTTCCCTGCTGTCTCTGGTGAATCCTCTCACTGATCTGGGGTGACTACTTATTTCTCATGCACACCAAATTAATTTTTGAGTTTTTAATACTTATTCATTCAAGGTCACCTAAGCCACTGTGACTTCATGCTGGAGGATCAAATATGAGGCCATTGTGATTTACAGGTGAAGGGCAAGGTGGTTGGACTTTCGCAAGGGTAAAAAACAGTGTGAGTTGTTAGAGGTGTTGCCTAATAAACTTGAGAGCTGCCCAACCTGCCCTATACTTCCAGAAACAAGGCAGAATGCCTCTCAGCAAAACATGGCTTTCTGAATTAAGGAAGAGATTTGTCCCTTCCCAGTACTCATTAGCACTCCCTTGCCCCAGTACTACTCATTCGCAATGTGATTTCTCAGCTCCAGAAATAAACTGTTTAGGATTCTTGCAAATGCTGTTTCCACAGGTAAAGACTGGAAAAGCAGTCTTAAGTAGCAATAGCAGAACAGATGTTTACACCCAATTCCCCCTTTTCTTTGTCCTCTCACTTCATTCTCCTCTGTTTGAACCAATATTAATAGGTTTAGGGTGGGGAAGATTGATTGGGGCTGCCAATAAGGGTATCCTTTTTGGGCTAGAACCTGGTATGACAAATGAACAAATGTAGGCACCTAGCAAAGGGCAAAACCATTAGCCAGGGATTGGTGAAACAGAGCCAGAAGAAAATAGGGAACACTGCTAAAACACAGCAGAAGCTAGACAAAGGTTTTAACAACTATTTCGGTGTACTAGAGTTAGTAGAGGCAAAAGAGGAGGCTAATGCAGTCTTTTGGGAGCTAAGAGCCTGATACAGTGTGAGGGCAGAGAGAAAGTGATGGCTAATAAGCAATGGTTTACATGGAGCAACTTTGGGCCAATATGAGACGAATTTAGAAGCAATCAAGATTCAAAGTATGTGCAGAATAAAGGTTAAGCTAAGAGTGTGGAAAGCATCCTCAAAGCTGCAGAGGATCACAGAGAAACCAATTTAAGGAGGGTCATGTAGGAGGAAAGAAAAGTGCCTCCCAAAGGAAGCAGCTGAGCAACTAGTGCTTGGGAAATCCAATGCAATAATGAAAAGTGAAGGGAAGAATGTAAAGTAAAGTGAGACCTCCTTCTTTTAGGAGATAGCTATTGAGTATCTTCTAAGTCAGGATACATTATCAAGGAGGGAAGTCAGCTCCACTGGCCCTTCTTTGTTAATGAAAGAAACAATCCAGGAATTACTTCTGATTTAGTAATTCCATTCCCTTTACCAACAATTCAAAAAAGGGCATGAGACCCAATTTAGGCCAGAAAACGCAAGGACAAATTGGTTGGGCAGCTTCTAGGAGATGGCTTCCTAAAATGGTAAGAGCCCTTTTTTATCCCCTGGATGCTAATGTCAAGCCTGAGACTAACAGATACTCCTTGACTGCTGAGTCAGCTGCCCAGCAAAGCCAATAAACTATAGTGGACAGAGAAGCTTGATGGAAAGAATTTGGATCTTCAATGAGGTAACAGCTGCCACTTGCCCATCTGAGAGCCAGACAATTTACATGAGAGACCAAGTTTCCTTCCATTTCAACTGGTTAGTGCTTGCTGTTACATATAAGCCAGAAGTATTCTAATAGAGGATAGTGAGTGCTAAGATGTGCTTTTAAAAAAATCAGGAAAAACATGAAATCTCTAGTAGCACAGGCAATGTAAACCACACTGCAAACCATCACAGTTCATAAAGAGAAAAAAGACAATCTTCAGGAATGCCCCTCCTAACACAAAACTACCCCCGCCCTAGGACCCCCAAGTCTAGGGACAAAAGAAAAAAGAAAGACAGGGCAATGCTCTCTTCAAGCACTAGGGGGCCACTGGTGGAGGGAGGGAGCTAAAATATGGCAAAAAGGCCTTCTCAAAGCACATCCTCAGGCCTTGTATGATTGGACTTCAGAAACTTTCCAAGAATCCTATCAGTGCTAAATTCTTGATCAATTAGAGTAATGTGGGCACAGGGAGCTCTCCAAACTCATTGCTTTGGTTGTTAAAAAAAAAAAACTTGCTGGAAATCCCATAGCTCACTCAGTTTCTCTGAATTAGAGGTAAGTTCTAGATCATGGAATGATCTAGAATGCTGGAGTGATACTAGTCTATATCCAGAAAAGGGACTAGGATACTAGGCCTTAGGGTCCTACCTTCTGGGTCTGGGGAAGTGCTAAGTCCAAACTACAATGGGAAACTGCTGCCACTAAGGTAGCAGTAGTAGAAATAGAGCACTGGAAACAGTACTGGAATAACAAGTACTGGCTGAGTATGTGGATAATTCGACAGCCCCATCTCTCTCAAGGTACTGGAAGCTCTACTTCATATAAAATCAAACTCTCGAGCCTCCCTGGTGGCACAAGGGGTTAAGCACAGCACTGTGAAGCTATCCACAGCCTCTTCAGCATGAGTTCAATTCCCAGCAGGCCAGGGATCTACCCACATGGCGGAACAGACTTTTCTTGTCTCGCCCGCTCCTCCCCTCAGCAGTGTATTTCAGTCTGCCTGTTCGGTTCCCCGCTGTCTCTCGTGAATCCTCTCACCACCCCCCGCCCCCCGCACATCTTGTATACATAAATAAATAAATCTTTTAAAAAAATCAAACTTTCTTCCTGCAAATCTATATCCCTTCCTGATTTTCTGAGAGACTACCCTTCTCTATAGTCCCTGTACTCCATACTGAAATAATCTTTGGCTTCGTTTCCTCCAAAGAGCATCAGTCGGTTACCAAGTTTAGATTTCTCCTCCGTACCTATATACCCACACCCTCCCACTAACCACATTCTCACTAGCCCATGAAGATTTCTGCCAAATGATTTCCAATTATCAGAGTAGTCCCTTTAAATTTCCTTATTCCCAGGACAATTATACCCTTCATACCCTCTCAATCCTGATCCCTCCCCTCCTAACCTAGCCTCCCACCTCCATACACACACAAAGTGTACACACAAACCTGCTCTGATCACACTGGATGCCTCCCTTTCAATGCTCTTCCCTCCATGCCTTCGCTCAGGTTATGTGATTGAGACCAGGACTGCCATGGAGTTCAAGCAAAAAGGCTGGGCTATGGGAAAGGAGACATTTAGTGGGCCCAAGCTGACAGTATAGTTCAGCTAAACATTCAGTCCAACATTGATGATATATAGCTATGCTCTGACTAAGGCAGGAGGGAGCCCCGAAAAGGAAAGGAACCAGTGACAATTGGAGCCGACATTTACTGAACATGTTAGATACTATGGTAAGCATTTTATAAGCACCATCTCCTAATACTAACAATTACCACTCAAAAAGGGAAGTGCTACTATCTCCATGTTACATGAGAAACAGGTTTATAGAGGTTATCTGTGCAAGGTTTCCACTGCTAATTAGAGATGGACTTGCAATTCAAACTCCAATGTACCTGGTCAGTTCTTTACTCAACTGCCACACAACACCATCTACCAAAAGGACGAGCCTTGCAGGGAATAATGTTAACTTACATCAAGTCCTTCATCTCTCCAGTATCATCTGGAAAAAGTCACTTGAAAGGATCAAAGCTCAAATCCAGTTGGAAGGGTTTCTCAAAACTAAACTTCAAATAAGAGGTTGTATGTCACATTTTTATCCATTTCATACTCAAGACCAGGTTCCCAGGGTACCCTTCTGGAGCTGCCTCACTGTACATACCCATGCTCACTCAACCCATTCCAAAACAAATTCTGACAATGACACATGAACTGCATAGAGCCGGCTTGCCTACCAGGTCCTTTATGCAGTTCAATATACAAGGTGACACCAATATAAGACAAGTGAAGATTCAGTTTGGATGCCTCCATCTCCCTCCTCTGAATCCTGATCCAGTGACTGCCAAAGCCAGAAGAGGTTTGGGGAAGGGTATGTGGTTTTGGGGAAAGCTGCTGTGGTTGGCTGGAAAATGGGAAAAGAGGAAGGTTTCACTTCTTCACAATCTGAATGACATCCTCATCTTCCAATGTATGGTCTTTACCCACTTTTTGAGGATTGTGTTTCACAGAGAGACCCCAGACCAGAGCGCTGTATGGAAAGGAAAAAAGAACAGTCAGTGTAAAGAATTACCAGTGTCTCCCCTATCTACTTGGGTGCCACCTTTTTGCTCACTAATAGCCACTGGCCTGCAATAGCCAAGGTCCCCTCTCCCCAGTCAAAAACAACAGTCAAAAACAACCCTCGAAAATACAAAGACTTTAGTTTCCCCAGCAGTGTGTTATAAGGGAGCCTTTATATACAAAGTTGCAAAGAGGCCTCCTTAGAGGTGCAAGGGTTAAGTCTCAGCACTATGAAGCTATCTGCAGCCACTGCAACATGAGTTTAATCCCCGGCCAGGGAACTGACCCACAAGGTGCAGCAGACCTCTCCTGTCTCGCCCGCTGCTCCCCTCCGCAGTGTATTTCAGTCAATCCACCCGTTCTGCTCCCCACTCTGTCACTGGCGAACCCTCTAATTAGCCTGCCTTCCCGCACCTCTTGCCTACACCCCAGCTCTTGTATGCATAATTAAAAAAATGAATCTTAAAAAAAAAGTTGCAGGGCCTCCCTGGTGGTGAAAGGGGTTAAGACACCATCTATGAAGCTATCTGCAGCCACTGCAGCATGAGTTAGATCCACGGCCAGGGAGCAACCCACATGGTGCCACAGATCTCTCCTGTCTCGCACACTGTTCCCCTCAGCAGTGTACTTCGGTCAATCTGCCTGTTCTGTTCCCCACTCTGTCTCTGGTGAATCCTCTCACCCTCCACACCTCTAGCCTGTACCCCAGCTCTTGTATGCATAAATAAATAAATCTTTAAAAAAAAAAAAAAGTTGCAAAGAAGTACCAATACTCATCAGTGGGTACTGAGAAGAAAAGTAGGGTTTTCCTCCCCTCAACCATGCTAGGAAAATTCTGCCTCCCTATCAAGAAACTGCAATTGGTTATGTTCTCCTGATGTTTAAGATCATATTTTTCTTAAGAACTAGTGATGGAGGTCCTCCCTGGTGGTGAAAGGGGTTAAGCACTGCACTATCTACCAATCCGCAGCCTCTGCAGCACGAGTTTGATCCCTGGCCAGCCAGGGAGCAACCCACATGGCTAAGCAGACCTCTCCTGTCTCACCCGCTGCTCCCCTCAGCAGTGTGTTTCAGTCTGCCTTTTCTGTTCCCCACTCTGTCTCTGGTGAATCCTCTCATGCTCTGCATCACTGGTCTGTACCCCAGCTCTTGTAAACATAAATAAATCTTAAAAAAAAAAAAAGATGGAGACTGCTGAACAAGACACTGGGAACTAACTCAAAGAGGCTAAGAGCTACAAACCAAAGGGTGGAACAAAAAAAAAAGGATGTCCATGTTGTTATTAGATTGCTTTTGAAGCAAAATGTCTTTAAGGGCCTCCCTGGTGGCGCAAGGGGTTAAGATGCAACCTCTGAAGCTATCTGCAGCCACTGCAGCATGTGTTTGATCTCTGGCCAGGGAGCTACCCACATGGCGCAGACCTCTCCTGTCTCGCCTGCTGCTCCCCTCAGCAGTGTACTTCAGTCAATCCACCTATTCTGCTCCCCACTCTGTCTCTGGTGAATACTCTCACTCCCCACACCTCTGGCCTGTATCCCAGTTCTTTTATGCATAAATCATCTTTACAAAAATAAAGTCCTTAAAAACTTATATTCCGAAAAGAAATCACTGAACAAGATTTCAGTTTTTAAAATATAAATGAAATAACAGGAACAGATTAACTGCAGCATTGTTCATAATGGCCAAGGTTTGGAAACAACTTAAGTGCCCGACAGATGAGTGAGTAAAGAAGATGTGGTATATAAACACAATGGAACATAACTCAGCTATTAAAAAAAAAAGTCTTATGGGGCCTCCCTAGTGGCGCAATCCACAGCTACTCCAGCACAAGTTTGATCCACAGCCAGGAGGCTAAACAACATGGCGCAGCAGACCTGTCCTGTCTCACCCATTGTTCCCCTCAGCAGGGTATTTCTGTAGATCTGCCTATTCTGTTCCCTGCTCTGTCTCTGGTGAATCCTCTCACACACAACGCCCCCAACCCAACTCTGGCCTACACCCCAGCTCTTGTATGCATGAATAAATAAAAAATCAGTCTTTTTTTAAAAAATGGTTAAAATGGGCCTCCCTGGTGGCACAAGGGGTTAAGCACAGCATTGTGAACCTACCGCAGGCTCTTCAGCGCAAGTTCAATCCCCGGCTGGCCAGGGAGCTACCCAGATGGTGCAGCAGACCTCTCCTGCCTCGCCCGCTCCTCCCCTCAGCAGTGTATTTCAGTCAGTCTGACTGTTCTGTTCCCCACTTTGTCTCTGGTGAATCCTCTCACCGCCCACACCCCTAGCCTGTACCCCAGTTCTTGTATGCATAAACAAAACTTTAAAAAAAAATGGTTAAAATGCCATTTGTACAAAAAATAAAAATACATTAATAATAAGGAAAAGTGACCAAATAAAATTCCACTTCCTTTGATAAGTCTCTTCTCCAAAATACTTTTCTTTACTGCCTTTGTTAATTTACAGTTCTAGAGGCTTTTTGAACTATATTCTGCCACATGCAATGCAGGAATTATATATAAATCTACAAAGTTTGAAAAAGGATAATGCCTAATTTTTCCCTAGATTCCGTTTCATATAATGGCACATATAATGGTTTGAAGGTTGTGGAAATTAGCACCCACATGTGAAATATACTTTAGATAAAAGAAATGTGAATTTTTTTTTAAAGATTTATTTATTTATGCATACAAGAGCTGGGGTACAGGCCAGAGATGCGGGGGGAAGGGGGTGATGGTGGTGAGAGGATTCACCAGACAGAGCAGGGACCAGAACAGGCAGACTGACTGAAATACACTGCTGAGGGGAGCAGCAGGCAAGACAGGAGAGGTCTGCCTCACCATGTGGGTTTCTCCCTGGCCGGCCGGGGATCAAACTCGTTCTGCAGAGGTTGCAGATTGCCTCAGTGTGGTGCTTAACCCCTTGCGCCACCAGGGAGGCCCAGAAATATGAAATTTAACAAAGGATTTGACTTAGTATTCTTACAACCAAAAAACAAATATTTTTAAAATGTCACTATTTCTTTCTTCTTTTTTTTTTTTAAATTTATTTATTTATACAAGCACTGGGTACACGGGCGGCAAGAGAGGTCTGCACGCCATGTGGGACCCTTGCCCGGCGGCCAGGGATCGAACTGGCGCTGCAGAGGTTGCGGGCAGCTTCGCAACCCAGCGCTCAACTGCTGCACCACCGGAGAGGCCCTTCTTTTTTCTTTTTTTAAGATTTATTTATCTATGCATACAAAAATTAGAGTACAGGTCAGAGGCATGGGTGAGAGGATTCACCAGAGACAGAGCAGGGAACAGAACAGGCACACTGACTGAAATACAGTGCTGAGGGAGCAGCGGGTGAGACAGGAGAGGTCTGCCATGCCATGTGGGTATCTCCGCGGCTGACTGGGATCGAACCAGTTCTACAGAAGCTGAGGACAGCTTCACAGCGCTACCTGCGCCACCAGGGAGGCCCTATTTGCAACTTTTTTTAAGTCTAAAATAAAATTCAAAATAAAATGATAAAAAAAAATTGTTTTCAGCCAGTATCAAATGTGAAAAAGTACAAAAGATTAGGGGCATTTATCCATGGTTTATAGGGAGACTCAGGATCCAATGGAGGCCAGTATAATGCTGGCAGGAAAAATTAGTATTTGTGTTTGAAAAAAGATGAATTAATGAGAGAAAGTCACAGCCCTTTGTACTATCAGTTCTCCCAACTCTGAAGAGGTTCCTAGAACTCTTCCTGCTCCAGGTATGGTTTTAAGAAGACACTACAGAGTTTTAATAAAGCAAAAATTTCAGCAGCTTCTCTGATGGCCAATTTTTTTAATGCTATCCTAAGGATGGCTCAACTGGAAAAGGAGACACCACTAACCATGATACTTACTATTTGAATTCTTTGATAAGGTTTTTGTGAATCTTCATGCAGAAATCCTCCACAGTGGTCCTGGAATAAGGCAACACCACTGGGGATGTGTAATCTGGCAACTGGCCTTTGGGTTTGGTGTAACTAGAACAGAAGGACCAGAGGTTGATTACTTCTTGGAATACTTCTCGTGTTAAATGCATTCAACCCTGAATACTTTTTAGAAGACAGACAAGGATAATCTTCAATTTGAGGAAGAAAGTACCTTTAATATGGCCTAGTGGATAAGAATTAATTAATTTATATCTCAAAAAAAAAAAAAAAGAGTTATATTAAAATGCTCCAAATGGTGTCACTTAGGACAGTCCAGTTTCATTCCTATGCAGCAGTACTTTATCCATTAAGACTTACATCCTCAAGAACGAAAACATGGAATCAGGGGAAAAAAAATTATAATAAATAAAAATAAAATTAACAGGCAACTATTTATCAGAGACATTCTGCAGGGGAGGGAGAGGGATCAAAGCAGGGGAGGGAAGAGCACAAGGGACTATGGTGATGGTGCACGGGTGAACTGGTGGTGGGAATTTTACCAAGACTACACCTGAGAAGAGAGAGCACACACTGTACAAAAATGAAGAATGACGTAAAATATATATGAAAATAAAAAATCAGGATGTATGACAAAATAACCTATTGTCTGGAACAGATGTCCATAACTAAGCAAATACTTGATGTAAAATAATTTCACAAGACAATTTAATTTGATGGTTAATTATAAATCATTAAATTTTTCCCTTGCTGGGAAAAAAAAAAGACTTACATCCTCACTAATTTCAGATAGTCCCATATCTTTTCCAAAAGGTCATCAAAATTCCAGCGGTGATGGGCAGAGATGGGTACACAGTGAGGCACCTTATAGATGATATCTAGTTCTTCAATGGAGATCTGATCAATCTTATTTAACACATAGATACAGGGTATATAAACTCTATATAAGTAGGAGAAAAATAGGACATTAGTCTGGGTTTTGATGATAAGACTATTAGTCTGATAATCAACATGCCCCACCCAGGACGCCAAAACAGACTCTCAAAAGGGATTACAGCAGCTCAGTCACACACACACAACACTCCTAACAAAATACGGTAAACATCCAAAAAGAAGTGAACTATGGGTTAAAAAACATCAAAAGTCAGGCTCCTAGTCCCAGTTAGACAGGTAAAGTTATTTTAAGAAATGTAAAAATGCAAGTATAATTCTAATATCAAATTCCATGATAATTTTAAAAAATAAAAAAAATTTAAAAGTCTAGCAATGTCACAAGTCTAATCTCCAAACAATATGGTAGCTAAGATTACTAATAATTGGGCCTCCCTGGTGGCACAAGGGGTTAAGACGCAACCTATGAAGCTGTCCGCAGCCTCTGCAGCACGAGTTCAATCCCCGCCGGCCAGGGAGCTACCCACATGGCGCAGCAGATCTCTACTGACTCGCCCGCTACTCCCCTCAGCAGTATACTTCTGCTGTTCTGTTCCCCACTCTATCTCTGGTGAATCCTCTTGCCCCCCACACCTCTGGCATGTACCCCAGCTCTTGTATGCATAAATAGGTAAATCTTTTTTTTTTAAAAGATTTATTTTATTTATACAAGAGCTGGGGTACAGGCCAGAGTCACGGGAGGGTGTGAGGATTCACCAGAGACAGAGTGGGGAGCAAACAGGCAGACAAACCGAAAGTACTGCTGAGGGGAGTAGTGGGTGCGACAGGAAAGGTTTGCCTCACCATATGGGACTCACCCTGGCCGGCCGGGAATTGAACCGGCGCTGCAGAGACTGCAGACAGCTTTGCAGCACTGCGCTCAACCCGCTGAGCCACCAGGGAGGTCCCAATAGATAAATCTTTTTTTTTTTTTTTTTTTTTTTTTAATAGAGGCATGTTTTATTTATTTATTTATTTATTTGTTTGTTTTGTTTGTTTGTTTATACATGCACTGGGTACAGTCAGAAGCACGGGAGGGCGAGAGCAGAGCAGGCAGAAGGACCGAAGTACACTGCTGAGGGGAGCAGTGGGCGGCAGGAGAGGTCTGCGCGCCATGTGGGACCCTCCTCCTGTGGCCGGGGAGCAGCCAGGGATCGAACCGGCGCCGCAGAGGCTGCGGGCAGCTTCGCAACCCAGCGCTCAACCGCTGCGCCACGGGGGAGGCCCCCAATAGATAAATCTTTTAAAAAAAAAAAAAAAAAAAAAAGATTACTAATAATTAGATAAGTCACAACTTCTCAGGCTTCAATGGCCTCACTTATAAAATGCGTAACTCAAAGCATTGGCTTTAGTTTTCAAATGAGGATCAAATAAATTCATCCAACAAATAGGAACAAATCAACTGGAAAGCAATTAGAAAATATTATATCCAAATGCCAGGAATAATTTTAACAATGATTTTAATTGTTATTCAATCTCAAGTTTGTTTTTTTTTTAAGATTTATTTTATTTATATAAAAACTGGGATACAGGCCAGAGGCACAGGAGGGTGAGAGAATTCACTACAGACAAAGCGGGCAACAGAACAGGCAGACAGACCAAAAACACTGCTGAAGCGAGCAGTGGGAGAGACAGGAGAGGTCTGCCGCGCCATGTGGGTTTCTCCCTGGCCAGCCGGGACAATTTCACAGCACAGCGCTCAACACACTGACCAATGGGGAGGCCCCTCAATCTCAAATATCAATAATAGTAAAAGCTCATGGAGGGGCCTCCCTGGTGGCGCAAAGGGTTAAGCACCGCACTATGAAGCAATCTGCAGCCTCTGCAGCAAGAGTTCAATCCCCAGCCGGCCAGGGAGCAACCCACATGGCAAAGCAGACCTCTCCTATCTCTCCCGCTGCTCCCTTCAGCAGTGTATTTCAGTCAGCCTGCCTGTTCTGTTTCCCACTCTGTCTCTGGTGAATCCTCTCACCCTCCTGCATCTCTGGCCTGTACCCCAGCTCTTGGATGCATAAATAAATATTAAAAAAAAACTCATGGAACAGGGTTTCCGCTATGTATCTTTAGGCTGGAGAAAACAGACTGAGCTCCACCTGCTCTGAGTTCTGTAGGACAGCTACAGAATTTCACAAGTGGATTAATTCTAGGAGAGCAGATTGAGAACCTATTATTTTCAACCACTGTATGATATAGAGTTTAGAAGACAGTCCAGTTCACAAGTGAAATGTGAAGCTATCATAATCAAACTTCAGAGCAAAGAAGGAAATTAGAAATCAAGACCAGCCCTTCATTTTGTAGCTAAGGAAACCAGGGCCAACAATTATCAATATATGGGCCTCCCTGGTGGCGCAAGGGGTTAGGACACAAATTATAAAGCAATCCGCAGCCACTGCAGCATGAATTTGATCCCCAGGCAGGGAGCTATCCACATGGTGCAGCAGACCTCTCCTGACTCGCCCGCTGCTCCCCTCAGCAGTGTATTTCAGTCAATCTGCCTGCTCTGTTCCCCACTGAGTCTCTGGTGAATCCTTTCACTACCACCCCCACACCTCTGGCCTGTACCCCCATTCTTGTAGGCATAAATAAATAAATCTTTAAAAAAAAAAGTTATCAATATATGAGATAGCAGCACAATTGCCATGATCCAATATTGTTTTCACAAAAAGCTTCAAATTTAAACTCAGGCATCAGACTCCTTTGTCAGTACCTATTTCCTTCCACCACGTCAATGAGATCATCCGCTGTGGCATCGCTACGCAGAGTCACATCGGCATTATGAATTTTGTATTCAGCCAGAATGCTCTTCACAGTTTCAGCATCCAGCTCACTTTGAGGGCACTGAATAGAAAGAAGACAGTGATTGGTAAGAGAACAAAACAAATCTCCCGAGAATATTTATGTTCCTGGATAATCCTAGCTAAGGTGCAAGCTCATTTCTGAAATCTGTATTCCTGGTTGAGAAATTTTAGTAGGAAATACTTAAGAACTAAAACTCTTTCAAAACTCAGTGGAGGGCCTCCCCGGTGGCGCAGCGGTTGAGCGCTGGGTTGCGAAGCTGCCCGCAGCCTCTGCAGCAGTTCGATCCCCGGCTGCTCCCCGTCCACCGGAGGAGGGTCCTGCATGGCGCGCAGACCGGTCCCGCATGGCGCGCAGACCTCTCCTGCTGCCCGCTGCTCCCCTCAGCAGTGTACTTCGGTCCTTCTGCCTGCTCTGCTCCCCGCTCTGGCTCTGGTGAATTCTCTCACCCTCCTGCGCTTCTGACTGTACCCAGTGCTTATATAATAAATAAATAAAAAATAAATCTTTAAAAAAAAAAAAAAAAAAACTCAGTGGAAGGTATTTCTGGACTAAATTTTGTGTGTGAGCCTCATCCCCACCCAATTGATGTGTTGAAGTCTTAACTACAGTATCTGAGAATGCAAATATGTTTGAAGACAGGGTCTTAAAAGGGGTAATTAAGTATATATGAGGTCAGAAGGGTGTGCCCTAATACAATGTGACCTTACAAGAAAAGGTATTTAATTGGGATACACACAGAGAAGACCATGTGAAGACATGGGGAGTAGACAACCATCTACAAAGCAAGATGAGAGGTCAGGAGAAATGAACCCTGTGCACATCTTTATTTCAGGTACCTCGCCTCCAAAGTTAAAAGAAAATGAATTTCTATTGTTTAAACCACCCAACCAATCTATGGAACTTTATCATGGCAGCCTTAGCAAACTACTAAATAAAGAATGATGAATGCTCAAATCCAAATATAATGAGAAGGCTCTTTTATACAACATAATTTAAACTCACGCTAGTCCATTCATCTGGACCTCTAGAATGCAAATTGTAGGAAATTCTCAGTCTTCAATTACATGACTTAGAAGCAATATGTGACAAAACTGAACACTCCAATCTTAACACTTATCTTGACTTCCAAGATTCCAAACTCTTCTGGTTTTCCTTCTCAGCCTGACTTTTCCCATCTCCCAACCTCTAGTCATTAGCGGGTCACAAGGCTCAATCCTTCAACCTCTTTTCTATTATAATACTCACTTCTTAGTGCTCCCCACTAAGCTCTTGGCTTTAAAGTTGATAACCACCAAATTTGTACCTCCAGTTCAAATCATTTGTTGCATGCCTACTTGGGTGTCTAAATTGGCATCTCAAACTAAACATTCTGATCGTCCCCTCCTCACCAAATATATTCTACCCCAAAAACTCCCAGTCATCTTTCACAACCCACGTCCAACCCAGCTGTTAATTCCAACTGTCTACTTTCAAAATCTTTCACAATCAACCACTTCTCTCTCATCTCCTCCACTGCTACAACCACAACCCTGGTCTGAGAAGCCATCATTTCTTGACTAGATAATTGCAGCAACCACTAAAATAGTTCCTCTGTGTCTGCTCTTAATCCATTTCAGTCTATTCTCAACAGCCAAGGTTGATTACATTAAAACCTAAGTCAAATCATGTTTACTCCAGACTGGAACCTTATCAACATTTACCCATCTCCTGCAAAATAACAGCATATATGACCCTATGTTATGACTTCATCTCTTATAACAACTCTCCTACTTGTTTATTAGAACTTGTATGTTTCTTCTACATGAATCACTCTTTCCCAAGATATCCCGTTGGTTCACTCCCTCATGTCACCTCAACAAAGACATCTCTAATCAATCTATTTAAAACTGAAACCTCCCACAAACTCTCTCCACCATCTTCTTTCCTTGGTTTACTTTCATATTTAGACTTAACATCATTTAATGTGCTATATTTTACTATTAATGTTGCTTATTACTTTCTCTTATTAGTATACAAGGGCAGGGATTTTTGTGTCTCTTCCTCAGTCTTTTCTCTTCCACCAAGAACATAAAATAATATTTGGCCCATGGTAGGTGCTCTATAAGTCTGCGTTGACAGAAAACATACTACTTTGGCAGTCATCTATTGATACAAAATCACCCAAGCATAAGATTAGTACCACCCACTCCCCAAAGAGGAAACAGAGTTACAAAGATAGTAAGTCAGACTCTAATGCCTGTGATTCTATCAGTCATTACATGATCATTGTGTTAGGTCAAACAGTGCTGGGAAAAGTCAGGGAACTTCTAAATTTCATTATTGCTATTGCTTAATCCAGTCCCCAACCCAGACCATTCAGCAACCTGCCTCATATATCTTCTTCTTTACTTACAGTGGCAGTGAGATTAATGCCTCCCTTATCCTTCTTCTTAAAGCCAATGTTAGGGGGTTTGCTGTTTAAGCGAATACCAAAGCCTTCCAGCTCATTTTCAATTATCTTCTTATGTCCCAAGGGTTTCAAGACATCCAAAACAATCAGGATCAAGTTACACGTTCGGGCCACTGAAGAAGTGGAAAAAAAAAATAACTTATACCCAAGCAAAGTTCATTAAAGATTTAATGAACCCAAATACTCGAATGGCAGAAAGATGGGCGTAAGGTGAAGGTGCCATTCCTATACTTAAAAGGATTTTTTTGCAAATACATACACATGAATTGTTAAGGTTGTCAAATATTTATGCCAGAAGTCAATCTGCAACTTATGCCTTGTTTTCTCCAAGTGTATCTAGATAACGGGTCAACTTCTAGATACATCAGTAGAAAAATGAAGATATAATGAAGATATAAACCAGGCACACCCCAAACTCTAGAAACTATTTAGAAAAATTTAAAACAGGAAGGACTCTAAAATATGACTGCCTGGTTAGCAGTAGAATCAACTTTGTAATTTATGAAAAGTTGATTGTGCCTATGTTAAGCATATGGTTTAATGACAACTATATATATCTATGTAACCACCACAGCAATAACACACAGAACATTCCCATCACATCCAACAGTTCCCTTGTAGTCCTTTACCATCAACCTTCCCCTCTCTCATTTCCAATCACTGATCTGCTTTCTGTCATGACAGGTTAGTTTACATTTTTAGAATTTCATACAAATGAAACCATACAAAATGTAGACTTTTGTGCCGATTTTTATTTATTTTTTTAAAGCTTTATTTATTTATTTAAAAAGATTTATTTATTTTTATACAAGAAGTGGGGTGTAGGCCAGAGGCATGGGAGGGTGAGAGGATTCACCAGAGACAGAGCGGGGAGCAGAACAGGCAGACTGACAAAATACACTGCTGAGGGGAGCAGCGGGCAAGACAGGAGAGGTCTGTCGCGCCATGTGGGCATCTCCCTGGCCAGGCGGGAATCGAACTCATGCTGCAGAGGCTGCGAACAGCTTCACAGCACTGCGCTCAACCCGCTGCAGCACCAGGGGAGGCCCTCTCATTATTTTAAATTAGACTTTTTTGTAAAGATTTATTTATGCACAGAAGTTGGCCTGGTATATAAATACCAGTTCTTGTGTAAATACTGGTTCTTGTATAAATAAATAAATCTTTAAAAAAAAAATTGTAAACAGGGCCTCCCCGGTGGAGCAAGGGCACAGCACTGTGAAGCAAGAGTTCGATCCCTGGCTGCCCAGGAAGCTACCCACATAGCGCAGCAGACCTCTCTTGTCTCTCTCGCTGCTCCCTTTAGCAGTGTATGTCAGTACATCTGCCTGTTCTGCTCCCTACTCTGTCTCTGGTGAATCCTCTACCCGCCCCACTCCGCATCTCTGGCCTGCACCCCAGCTCTTGTATGCATAAATAAATAAATCTTTAAAAAAATGTAAATAAATACATGAATTTAAGAAAATCAACTAAAATTGAAAATACAGTTCCTCAACAAGACCAGACCTATCTAAAATGATCACTAGCCATACCTACCTAGGAAATACTGTATTGGTGACAGCGCTGAGACTTAACACCTAGTTAATATTATAGTCCAACACACATTTCCATTACTGAACGATGCTGGTCTAGAAAGCAACCACTTCTCTCAGCACATAGAGGAGGTAAGGGAAGAAAAGAGAGTCTGTCTGAAGCTCAGAGCCACAATGTGACCAGAGGGCCAACAGGAGGTGGGACCTCACTGGCACATTCTGCTGCAGTCCATGCTCTAGGGGGCCCCTTTCTCTCCTCCATCCCTCCCCACCCCCCTCAATAAAAAAGAAAAAAAGTAGAAAGCAGTCAATGCAAATTGAAGTACAAAGACTATGGGTACCAGTAGGTAGTGGCACAGTTGGCAGCAGAGAATGACATTTAAAAAAGAAGTATTTGGGGCCTCACTGATGGTGCAAGGGGTTAAGACGCAACCTATGAAGCTGTCCGCAGCCTCTGCAGCATGAGTTCAATCACCCGGCCAGCCAGGGAACAACTCACATGACGCAGCAGATCTCTCCTGACTCACCAGCTGCTCCCCACAGCAGTGTACTTCAGTCAATCTGCCTGTTCTGTTCCCCACTCTGTCTCTGGTGAATCCTCTCAGCCCCCTACACCTCTGTCCTGTACCCCAGCTCTTATATGCATAAATAAATAAATCTTTATTTTTATTTTTTTTAAAGATTTATTTATTTATACAAGCACTGGGTACAGTCAGAAGCGTGGGAGGGTGAGAGAATTCACCAGAGCCAGAGCAGGGAACAGAACAGGCAGACTGACGAAATACACTGCTGAGGGGAACAGCGGACGCGGCAGGAGAGGTCTGACGTGCCATATGGGACCCTCACTGGTGGCCAGGGAGTGAACCGGCGCTGCAGAGGCTGTGGCAGCTTCGCAGCCCAGCGCTCGACCGCTGCGCCACCAGGGGAGGCCCTAAATAAATCTTTAAAAAAAAAAAATTGTATTTGGAACTATATCTTAGTATCTGGAAAAATATTTTTGATAGACATGTTCTATTCAAACATTTGAAAAATATTAGCAAACACAGAAAAGTAACCAAAACAAGAACCAATTATTAACTCCATGAAAACCCAATTTAAAAAACATAGTTCAAGAGAAAAGAAACCAAGTCATAACATACTACTTATCTCAGCATTAAACAAAAATTACAGTTGTTACATAATAATGTAAACCATGACTGATGAGTTAACTAAAAATTAAATGGGAAAGCAAAAAGTAATAGAAAGCTAATTCTCTACTATAATAGGAAACCAATAGACAATATCTATATTTAATCATGAAATAGCAATATGAGCATAATATTTTAAAACATGAAATAGCAGAAATCAGAGTCAACAATAAGTGCTAATGGGGAATGACAGTAGAGGTAAAGAGAGGTGGGGTAACTGATGCAAATTGTGATTAATGTTTTATAACAATTTACCTGAAACAGGAGGAAAGAAGGAAAGGCATGGGCAGAAGTCAGGAAACCTAGGTTCTACTTCTGAAGCTGCCACAAACAGTGCAACCAAAACATTTCACTTGTCTTTAGTGTTTCTCCTTACTCTTTGAAGTTCCTTCAAGTTCTGACATTTTATTCTGATAAGAAGTCAGAATATTTCCTTCACTGTGATATCATCTCCAAGTTCAACACACCCAGTCTAAGGGAACAGTTCCTCTATCCAGTAAAGGGTTGATATCCCAGGATATTAACCCTAGACTACTCACCTGCAATGACTTGACGACCTCTACCTTTACCATCCTTGGCACCCTCAATGATACCTGGGAGATCCAGAAGCTATATAAGATTAAAGACAGGTAGAATGAGAGAAAGGGGAAAATGAGTTATAAATCTGAACAGAATAAAATGATTAAATATTAAATAGGATGATAATCAAATACAATGATTTATTTCTCAGTTATTCAAAATTTAGGTGATTAAATGCAAACTTCCTTGTGTATGAATACTAATTTTATTAAGCATCTAATAAACATCAGCCACAGACTTTTAATATACTTTGCCTAGTTTAAAATGCCTAACACGGGCCTCCCTGGTGGCACAGGGGTTAAAGTCTCAGAGTTATCAAGCTATCGCCAGCCACTGCGCATGAGTTCGATCCCAGGCAGGGAGCTAACCCACACGGCGCAGCAGACCTCTCCTGTCTCACCTGCTGCTGCCCTCAGCAGCCCATTTCAGTCAATCCGCCTGTTCTGTTCTCCACTCTGTCTCTGGTGAATTCTCTCACCCCACCCCCCACACCTCTAGCCTGTACCCCAGTTCTTTTATACATAAATATTAAAAAAAAAAAGCTGGAACAATGAATATTAAAAATACGGTAGTATTGGATTATAACCCATAAAGTAAGATGAATATTCATGAGCCCACACTAATACAAATTATCAACTAAATGAACAAATGGCAGAGAAAACAGCTATTTCATATAGAATTCCAATTAAGGTAAAAGAGAAAAAGGATCATCGTTAAGCAAGAAGCATAGTAATAATCTTTTCATAAAATCCCCAGATGGATGCTAAAATGAGTGGACAAGTTTGAGAAACAGGATTTATATCTTCTCAAAGTATTTCTCCCAAAGTATTAAATTACAGAAAGAAAGACAGCTTTCCAATAGAGAAACCCTGAGGTCAGTACCTTAAACAACTAGGAGAGGTCAGTGTCACCAATAAGACACATCAACACCATGAATCTCATGACAGGATACATTAAGGACCCAACATTTCTCTAGCAAAAATACAATCTAATCATGAAGAAACCATCAGACAAACTCAAGTTGAGAAACATTCTGCAGAATAACTGGTCAATACTCTTTAATAGTATCAAGGTCATGAAAGACAGAACTGTGAAACCAGTACAAATGCCAGAAGAATAAGGAGAAATAACTAAATACAACATTTATGATTATAGAAAAAAATTTGGAAAAGAAAAAGGATACTAGTGGGAAAACTGATAAAAATCCAAATAAGATCTGTAGTTTACTAAATATCACACCAAATTTTAATCTATCCCTCATAATTATCCTAAGGTTATGTAAGATTTTAATATAAGGGGCAGCAGAACCTAAAATAATTAGGCTCAGGGAAGTCACCCTCTCCCAACAAGTACATTTATACCTGTACACAGTCTTACTGACATAAAACCCTTAACATATAAACTATAGTGGCAAAAGTAGACAAATGACTACTTGGAGAAAAAATGAAAGGGGCAGGAGCAAGAAGGGACAGGAGCGTGTTCCCTGATGACACAGGGGTTAAAGACAGAGCGCTATCAAGCTATCGCCAGCCACTGTAGCACCAGTTCCATCTCCGGGCCGGCCAGGAAGCTGACCCACACAGAGCAGCAGACCTCTCCTGTCTCGTCTGCTGTCCCTTCAGCAGTGTATCTCAGTGGAGCTGCCTGCTCTGCTCCCCACTCTGTCTCTGGTGAATCCTCTCAACCACCTCCCAAACCGAGTCCCACCCCACTGCTCTGGCCTACATCCCAGTTCTTGTATGCATAAATAAATATTTTTTCAAGATTTATTTATGCATACAAGAACAGAGGTACAGGGCAGAGGTGCAGTGGGTGAGAGACACCAGATTCACCAGAGACAAACTGGGGAACAGGCAGACTGACTGAAATACACTGCTGAGGGGAGCAGCAGGCGAGTCAGAAGAGGTCTGCTACGCCATGTGGGTCACCTCCCTAGCCGGGGATCAAACTCGAACTTGTGCTCCAGTGGCTGCGGGTAGCTTCATAGTGCTGCATCTTAACTTAACCCCCTGCACCACCAGGGAGGCCCTAAATATATAAATCTTTAGGGCCTCCCCTGGTGGCGCAGGCAGTTGAGCGCAGCGCTGTGAAGTTGTCAGCAGCCTCTGCAGCACTGGTTCAATCCTGGCCAACCAGCTGGCGAGGGTCCCACAATGGTGCAGCAGACCTCTCCTGTTGTGCCTGCTTCTCCCCTCAGCAGTGTATGTCATCAGTCTGCCTGTTCTGTGCCCCGCTGTCTCTGGTGAATCCTCTCACCCTCCTGCGCATCTGGCCTGTATCCCAGTTCTTGTATAAATAAATAAATAAATCTTTCAATAAATAAATCTTTAAAAAAAAAAAAAAAGGGACAGGATGGAATCAACTCTTGATTGTGGTGATGTTTTTACCAATGTGTAGGTAATAAAATTACACATTTCATGTACAGCTTATTGTAGTGAATCATAATTCAAACAAGATCAGTTAAGATCTTGGGGGCAAAAAAAAAGTTCATCAGTTGTCTCTAGAAATTAGATTCTGTAATCTACTTAAAACACTTAGTAAATCCCCTTCTGCTTTAAAAAGGTTTTTCTTCAGCAAAAGACATTATTATATGCTTGGGTTTTTTTAAAAGATTTATTAATTTATGCATACAAGAGCTAGGGTACAGGCCAGAGATGTGGGGAGAGGACCCACTAGAGACAGAGTGGGGAACAGAACAGGCAGATTGACTGAAATACACTGCTGAGGGGAGCAGCAGGTGAGACAGGAGAGGTCTGCCTCGCCATGTGAGTTTCTCCCTGACCAGCCGGGGATCGAACTCGTGCTGCAGAGGCTGTGGATTGCTTCATAGTGCAGCGCTTAACCCCTTGCTCCACCAGGGAGGCCCCTTATTATATGTTTTATATAACTGTTGTTATCAAGAACTTAAAAGGAAAATCCATATGGCTAATCTAAAACTCCTAAATCTGGAATATGACTATAATGTCAAAAAAAAAAACTATCTGACAGTATTACACTGAAGAAAAACAACACGGGCAGAAAATATGTTGCGGTCCCCCCAAAAGCAAAAAAAACAGCTAAAATTTAGCTTTTCATTTTTTTTAAAGGTTTATTTTATTTATTTATGCATACAAGAGCTGGGGTATAGGCCAGAGGTGTTAGGGGTGAGAGGATTCACCAGAGACAGAGTAGGGAGCAGAACAGGCAGATCTACTGAAATACACTGCTAAGGGGAGCACAAGGAGAGACAAGAGAGGTCTGCTGTGCCATGTGGGTTAGCTCCCTGGCCAGTAATTGCTCTCATGCCGCAGTGGCTGGTGACAGCTTGACAGCACTGAGACTTTAACCCCTGAGCCCTTTCCTACTTCAGATTCTATAATAATAAACATAAATGTACCTCACAACTCACTGGATAGCCCAGTTAAGACAGAAAGCAAATGTCTACACCAAGGCACTCTGGGACACGATAGAGAACTTAGGGATGCCAAGGAGTATTATTTTTCAAGAGAAAAACACACAGCAATTCTTGATATGTTAGGTACTGAAGAAAGTACCAACTACAGGTAGCTGACAATTTCAACATCAGATCCTACTATACTGTCTTCAATTATGTAAGATCTGAATCTTCAGGAAGCTGGATTTTTCAGCAGTTACTATTTTTTTTTTTAAAGATTTATTCATTCATAAAACAGCCGTGTACAGGCCAGATGTGTGGGAGGGTAAGAGGATTCACCAGAGACAGAGTGAGGAACAGAACAGGCAGACTGACTGAAATACACTGCTGAGGGGACCAGAGGGCAAGGCAGGAGAGGTCCGCCATGCCATGTGGGTATCTCCCCTGCCAGCTGAGATCAAACCCGCGCTGCAGAGGCTGCAGACAGCCTCACATCACTGCATTCAACCACCTGCACCACCAGGGAGGCCCAGTTACTATGGTTTCAAAGGTTAAGCACCACACAAAAAAACCAATGTGGAATAGAAAACAAATGTGGCAGTATCCAATCTGATTCCTATATTTGAGAAGTTATATGATACTCAACAATGCACACACATTTCCCATTAGTATATAACTACAGCTGTAAGGACATAAAAGGTTGTTTGGACCCAATTATCTAAATAAACACAACCATTAGATATTCCTTTTGGTCTGGACATCATAAAAAATTACAGGACAGGGCCTCCCCGGTGGCACAGTGGGTTGAGCACAGCGTTGTAAAGCTGTCTGTAGCCTCTGCAGCACAGGTTCGATTCCTGGCTGGTCAGGGAGATTCCCACATGGCACGGCAGACCTCACCTGTCTCGCCCGGTTCTCCCCTCAGCAGTGCTTTCGGTCTGTCTGCCTGTTCTGCTCCCCACTCTCTCTCCAGTGAATCCTCTTACCCTCCCGCACCTTTGGTCTGTACCCCAGCTATTGTATAAACAAAAAATAAATCTTAAAAAAAAAAAAAAAAAAAAAACTACCAGGACAGGGCCTCCCTGGTGGCGCAACCTATGAAGCAGTCCACAGCCTCTGCAGCCTGAGTTCGATCCCCAGCTGGCAAGGGAGCACCCCACATGGCACAGCAGTCCTCTCCTGATTCGCCTACTGCTCCCCTCAGCAGTGTATTTCAGTCAATCTGTCTGTTCTGTTCCCCACTCTCTCTGGTGAGTCCTCTCACCCACCACGCCTCTGGCCTGTACCCCAGCTCTTGTATGCATAAATAAATAAACCTTTATAAAAAAATTATCAGGACAAGGAAAAATGTCATGAAATAATTGCTACCACACCCAACAAGAATATACTCTACTTCACATATACTTTCTTTCCTATCCAGTTCTAACTCTCTCTTAAGGGGCCTCCCTGGTGGTACAAGGGGTTAAGCACAGCACTGTGAAGCTATCCGCAGCCTCTGCAGCATAAGTTCAATCCCTGGCTGGTCAGGGAGAAACCCACATGGCGCAGCAGACCTCTCCTGTCTCGCCCGCTGCTCCCCTCAGCAGTGTTTTCAGTCAGTCTGCCTGTTCCGCTCCCACTGTCTCTGGTGAATCCTCTCACCCTCCCGCACCTCTGGTCTGTACCCCAGTTCTTGTATGCATAAATAAATAAATCTTTAAAAATTTTTTTTAAAAATCTAAGAACTTCTCAAGATATCGCCTCTTCAGATCTCACAGACAAGAATTATCTTCTAAAAAGGGTCTGATCAGGTTATTTCTTTATTAAATGCTTCTAATGGTTCCTAATTATATACAAGATAAAATTCAACTTCCTTAGCAGACACACAGGACCTCATAATGCAGCTCCAGTTTACCTTTCCAGCTTCAATTTTTAATATTCTCTGTCCCACACTGAAGTTCACACCTCAGCAAGCTACTCACCATTACAACTGACTGAAATTGCCCTTTACCTTCTCTGGCTGGTGAAACTACTTGAACTTCAAGATCTAGCCCCACTATTACTTTCAACATGAATCTTTCTTTGTCATAGCAGACCTTCCTTCCCTGACCACAGTCACTATCCTACCATATTAAAAGTTTTTACATACTGTTTACCTCCCCTGCTAACAATAAGGTTCTAGTAAATTAAAGATCAGCCCTAGTATACAGAGAGCTCTCAATAAGTGTTTTTCAAATGCATTCAAGAACGGATTTCTTCTCTTCCTTGGCTTCAGAACTCACCTGGATCTTGGCACCTTTATATCTGATGACACCAGGTACAGTGGTCAGAGTAGTGAACTCATAGGCTGCCACCTCAGAATATACCCCCGCCAGGTTGCTGAGCAGCGTTGACTTCCCAACAGATGGAAAACCCACAAACCCAATTCGAGCATCACCTGTCTTGGCCACATCAAAACCTAAAACATAAATATCAAAAGGAGTAGAAAAGTTATCTCTAGGAGGTAACTTGAAATTCATGTGATTCCTTTCACATTCTGGCTGCCTATCCCTGCAAACCTTATTTCTTCAACTTTTTACAGTTTACCTCTAGAGAGGATATAACTCAAGCACACAAAATTCTCCCACAGCAATTCACAACATTTAATGTGATGTTTGATATAAAACTTTTCTGCCATTTAAACTGTTATATGCCTTTCTAATACCCATAGTATTTAAGGGCCAAATATTATATAATTGATCTAAAAAAAAATGGGTTTCTTTCTTATCTTATAAACCCTGGGAATTATGTGATTGACTGGGTTTGCTGGTTGTTTTTTATCCCCCAATGGCCACACACAAGTTGAAAGTCAAATTTGTGCTCCTTCTCTAGGAAATGCTACAGATCTTACATTACTTTCAGCCCTAACATTATCTCTCTTGGCTTCAACTTATTCCTACTACCTTTGTTTTCCCTTTGCATAATTCAATTACTTCTATTTTTATGTTGTTGACTATGGAACTCCATTCTGGACCAGAACAGGATACATATTAATAAAAGTATAATTCACTTAGACAATATTCATTTGCTTTCAAAACCAGGATGAATTCTGGAAACATTTCAGGAATTTAGGTTTAGAAAATACAAATTTACTTTGATAGAAATTTTAAAATTATTTTTAACCATAAGCCCATATTATTTTGATAGAACTCTCTCTCATACACACACATGCAAACACAAAGTTGAAGAAAAACATCACAAACCTTCTCCTGGCCCACCACCACCACCACCTTTTGGAGTAATGAGTTCTCTGCGAAGCTTAGCAAGGCGAGCCTTAAGCAGCCCTAGGTGGTGCGCTGTGGCCTTGTTCTTTTGCGTGCGAGCCATCTGCAAGGAAGAAAACACGTTCATAAATCAGAAGCAGCTCCTACAGAACAAAATATGCAGAATAAATGCTTTCCCAGTTCAGAAAGGATGTTTTTCCTAGGTTCTATTAATATCAGTATATCCATTCTTGTCACTTAAAGAGAGTAAAAACTCCAGTCTCTCTACCATCCAGCCCATTCCCTTCAGAGCAAACAACTGAGACCCAAAGAGAAAAGACAGGACCAAGGTCATTACAATTAACGTCCACAGATTTGACTAAAACATCTGCTGATTTCTTTTCCACGGCTTCTAACTGGTGTGCCCCATCAGATACAGGTTCACCACTTTCCCGACTTTAAGGAGCTGTGAGCGCTTCAGATAAGAATCACAATAATGCAGGCGGAATCAACAGCTACCACTCATCTACTTCCAGATCCTATTCCCGGGAGCAATACTCTGGGAAAGGGGGGGGGGTCATCAAGATAAGAGACTCTAGAGGGGCAAGGAGCGGGGGTGAGTGCGAGGCGCGCGTCTGTGAGCAGGTCTGGGCTGGAGCAGGGAGCCAAGATTCACTGTCGCTCGCGGGGAGGAAAGGCAGGAAAGACTGAGAGAAACAATGTTCGGACAAGAGCCGAACCCTGGAAGGGGAGCCTGACCAAGGAGTAGGGGCATGGAACGTGGGCAGGGGACGGTCTGGGGAAGACCCGGCCAGCCTGTGGGGAGTCAGGACACGCGGGCTCGGCAGGGGAGTCAGGGAACGCCAGAGCCCGGCTGAGGAGACTCGAGGAACGCGGCCGGGTCCTGACGCGGCTGAAGAGAGCTCTGTCAGGAGTGAGCACTCGAAGAAGGAACGCGCCGACAGAATGAAGCGCCAGCCGGGTCCATTACCTCGGCTTCGATCTCCGCGATCTTGGCTAAGGTGCTGCTCATGGTGGCGAGTCCCGGAGGGCTCAGTGGCCAACACGCTGCCTCGCGTCACAGAGTCGCCAGCGGACCCGCCGCGGTCAGCCGACGCTACTGCAGCGCGCAGGCGCGGAACTTCCTTCTTCTCGCGAGAGCGTTCCGCGTGCGGCTCCAGACCAGACGCACGTTGCGCAGCCCGTCTCCTCCCCCTCAGCCAGCCCCGCCCCGTCCCGCGAGCCAGCGCGGGGTCATAGAGCCCGCGGGAGCGGGGGCCAGAGAGGCCGCCCCAGTCTGTACCTCCTCGAGCGCGCCGAGGGTCGCGCGCCGCTCGGCCCCGCCCCGCCCCACCCGACCTGCGCCCCGCGTCCGGCTCTGCGTCCCGCGCGTGGTGTGCGAGGAGCCGCTCGGCGCTACAGCCCGCAGGCCCGGCGTCCTCGCAGCCCCGGCGTGGGGGAAAAGCGCACTCACGCCCCCCACCCCTCTTCCTCGTCAGCCTCCACGGATCAGGGGCTCCCTTTTCTCAGCTGGGTCAACACCCTCGGCCTCCGAGATTGGTGTCAAGACCGACCTTCACCCTGTTTCTCCCTCTGGAAAAAGAAAATGCCCCTTTCCATCACTCGGATAAAACTAGTTTTAGGTGGTTTTGTTTACGCCCCCCACCCCCCCAGCAGAGTGCATGGTAAATGCATGATTGAATGGATATTTCCCGGAGAACCGGTACTTGCAACACAGCTTGTAATACTCAAGAATTCGAAACTATGTTAACGCCCATCAGTAGGGAAATGGATAAATAATGATACCTCTATGCTGTGAAAGAGTATTACAGTCATTAAAACGGGTCTGTGTCGTCTGATTGGTTGGATGTCCAGGACATGCTGATTTTTTGTGTGTGTTTTTTAATACGTCTGTGTTGAGACCTTCTTTACTTTAAAAACTAGGTGTTTATTTAGGTGTACATGTATGAAAGTGCAGTGTTTAAAGTGCTGAATAAAAGGATACAATAGCAAGCTCTTAGTGGCATGGGATGCAAGCAGAGGGAGAGAAGGCCCTTTTCACTTGTTACTCCATGTATTTCTGTGTCCTCCCAATTTGTTTTACGACACGAATATAGTCGTGTATTATCTGTGCAATAATAAAATTAAAAATTTCAAAAGACTGCTCTTCCCCAAGTGTCTTGTGAAGAGGAAGCCAGAACGTCCAGGAGCTGTGTCCTGGTTTTGAAAGCTGCTTCCTGTGGGATCAGTGAATTCTTGTTGATAGATTGATTGATCCATCGGGATTCTGCAGGCCTGATTTAACCCAAGCCGCTGGCCTCCACTCAGTCCTGGAAGGGGAGTTTATTTAAATTTGTAAGTAAGAACATTCCAACTGCCAGAGACAGAAAAGGAGGTTTATCAGGCATAATAGAGGGAATGAGGAAAGGAAAACTTTTACAGAAGGTTCCCAAAGGGCCCCAGAGTTTCTTTCTTCTTTTCTTTAACCTCAGCCTTTTCATAAATAAATTAAGGGGTGATGAGGTAATTAGATCCTGCAAGGACAGTAATGGAGGGAAGAAGAGGAGAGGAAGTCCAGCTGGAATGGAATATGATCAAAGATCAGTCTTGACAGACAGATAAAATCAAATCAGCAGGCCTTTCCTAACTTCAAGTACTTACAGAATTAATTGACAGACAATCAAGGGCATCTGTAAGTAGGTTCTCCTTAACAAATCCATCAGAGAAGACCTGCAGTTAACTTAACTACTTCATTGCTCAAGACATCCCAGGATCTACTTTTGGAGTCCCAAGCGGCCAATAGTGTGTCAAAGGGTAATATGGCCATCCAATAAATTCAAGGAATATACTGAGATATGATTGCTGCCTGGCTCTGTACCAAGACTGGGACCAGAATATAGAGAGCAGACACTGTTCCTGTGTTTAAGCGGTATGTAGGTTGGGAGCCCATGGTCCAGGCCCTTGAGCTCAGCTGCTAAGAACTAGCAGGTTCTTAGACCTGCTCATCCAGGTCTGCTCAGTATTAACCACAACAGTACTAACCTGTTTTGGAATGTGGCTAAGTCACTAGTGTCTTTGCACTGTATATCTTTAAAATTATTTTTTTAGAGATTTATTTATTTATTTATACAAGAACGGGGGTACAGGGCAGATGTGCGGGAGGGTGTAAGGATTCACCAGAGACAGAGCGGGGACCAGAACAGGCAGACTGACGAAATACACTGACGAGGGGAGCAGCAGGAGAAACAGGAGAGGTCTGCTGTGCCATGTGGTACCCTCGCCAGGCGGCCAAAATTGAACCCCCGCTGCAGAGGCTGCAGACAGCTTCACAGCCTGGCACTCAACTGCCTGCATCACCAGGGGAAGCCCTCTTTAAAGTCCAGTTCTGCCTTTACACCCAGTTTTTATATGCATAAATAAATAAATCTTTTTTAAAAACCATTAAAAAATATATAGCTCAAACATAACACCCAGGCAGCTATAGTAAGGTCTTAAAACATATTTATTTAACAAACAGAAATAAAAATAAGGAGGTAGAAAAATATTGGGCAGAGTCTACTTGCTAAATGGAAAGTTGACTGCTACACGAATCATTTAATAAAAATTAACAAATTATTTTAAGGTATTTGAAAGATTTTTTTAAAATATTTATTTATTTATGCTTACAAGAACTGGGGTACAGGCCAGAGGTGTGGGGGTGAGAGAATTCACCAGAGACAGAGAGGGGAACAGAACAGGCAGGTTGACTGAAATACACTGCTGAGGGGAGCAGCGGGCACGAAAGGAGAGGCCTGCTGCGCCATGTGGGTTTCTCCCTGGCTGGCCGGGAATCGAACTCGTGCTGCAGAGGCTGTGTATTGCTTCATAGCACAGTGCTTAACCCCTTGCGCCAACCAGGGAGACCCTCCTAGATTTGTTTTATCTAAATATAGTCTGCTTCGGAGAAGGAGTAGAGTCATAGCTAAGGACCAGTTTAAAATATATTTTTAGCAATAGTGGGAAAAGTTACATGATTCCTTAACTATGGTTGATGGAAAGAGAAATAACAGGAATATGATATATCAAAATTTCATATTAGCACCTTTTTTCAATTTTTATTTTTTGCATAGAAGAACTGGGGTGTAGGCTAGAGGTGCAGGGCGTGGGAGGATTCACCAGAGACAGAGTGGGGTGCAAAACAGGCAGATTTACAGAAGTACACTGCTCATGTTAGCACATTTTTAAGCCTAGGTTTAAACAGATCAAAAGTCTCTGGAGGGGCTCACTGGTGGCACAAGGGGTTAAGCACAGCACTGTGAAGATATCCGCAGCCTCTGCAGCATGAGTTCTGGATCCCCGGCGGGCCAGGGAGCTACCCACATGGCAGAACAGACCTCTCCTGTCTTGCCCACTGCTCCCCTCAGCAGTGTATTTCAGTCAGTCTGCCTGTTCTGTTCCCCACTCTGTCTCTGGTGAATTCTTTCGCCCCCCCACACCTCTGGCCTGTACCCCAGTTCTTGTATGCATAAATAAATAAATCTTTTTTTAAAATACTTAGTCATTACTTAATTGTGGCATATTAATAAACATAATGAATATATAAATATATAAAAGGAAATATATGATATTAGCAATGGGAAGGTGACCATGGAAGAACTGAAAAGCAGGGCCTCCCTGGTGGCATAAGGGGTTAAGGCAGCCCTCTACATGGGAATTCATCTTCAGTCTGACCAAAGAGGCTGGCTGAGGGCTGAGTACAAAGTGAGATTCTGTGAGGCTTAGCAGAGAACAACTCCTTTAAGCTAAGAGCTGAAGAGACATCACAGTTTGCTCAATGTTAGAACAGATTGGAGTTCAGGCCCAACCAGAGTGGACATAGTGAAATTTTTGGGCTTTCAGTTGAGATCCCTAAAAAGCCATGTTTTAGGAGTAAGGACTAAGTCCTAGAGTAGGGATATGCTTTAGGGCCAAAGACAAAACCAAAATAGACTCTCCCAAACAAAACTTAAACCAAAGTGATAGGAGAAACTCCACTAGTAATTGAATGACCAGAACAGAACTCAAAATCCTTGAAAACAATGCAAAAAACCCAGACTTCCTGCCATGTATCATTCAGGTCTACCATACAATAAGAAACTGTTAAATATGCTAGGTATAGAAGAGACACACAATCTAGAGGAAAAAGTCAATAGAAAAAGACTTCAATGAGACCTAGATGTTGGAATTAACAGAAAAGGACTTAACACAACTATCATAAATATGTTCAAGGACTTAAAGGAAAAAAAGAATGAAAATGAAAACCTGAAAATGAGGGAATATCTCAGCAGAGAAATGGAAACTGTTAAAAATAGGATTTTTAGAACAGGTAAGTATAATATCTGAAATGAAAAATTCACCATATGGAGTTAACAAGTGCAGCGTAAAGCTAAAATAAACTTGAAGGACCAATAGAAATGATCTAAATTGAAAAACAAAAAAAAAATTAGGAAAATGAATAGAGTCTTAGAGCCACATGGGACACCATAAAATTAACATACCTGTAATAGGAGCCCAGAAAGAGAAGAGATAATGGGATAGAAAAACCCCATTGTGAAGATTTAAGGACCAAAGAAACTCAGCAAACCTCAAGTGGGATAAATACAAACCAACTAACCAAACCTAGGGCCATAATATTCAGAGTGCTGAAAAGCTCAGAGAAAATCTAAACAGCAGCCAGAAGAGAAAAGACACGTTTGCATGCAGGAGGAAAAAATACAAAGAAAACAACACAATGACAACTCATTTCTCATCCGAAACAGATGCCAGAAGACACCAGAGGAGATCTTTATTTTTTCTTTTAAAGATTTATTTTATTTATTTATGCATACAAGAACTGGGGTGTAGGCCAGAGGTGCAGGGGGTGAGAGGATACACCAGAGACAGAGGGGAGCAAAACAGGCAGATCTACTGAAATACACTGCTGAGGGGAGCAGCGGGCAAGAGAGGAGAGAGGTCTGCTGTGGGTCAGCTCCCTGGCTGGCTATAGCTTGATAGCTCTGAGACTTAACCCCTGCAGGGAGGCCCCAGAACAGAGCTTTAAAGTACTGAAATAGAAAAAGTGTCAATCCAGAATTCTATACTTTAAAAATGTCCTTCAATATAGGGGGGAAATAAAG